CCGCGACGTAAAAACTTGATGTAAAGAAATCACTGTCATAAAGGTAAATGAACAGCTGATAAACAGAAGCTTGGCATGGGTGTCCGTAACAGTGCTGCCAACGTGACACAAACAACAGAATTCTAAACCGATAAGCNCGCGAGGTTTAAATTAAAAATTCCGGCTATTTTTTGATCATGGTAGTATACCTTCTATTAAATTAGATGCTTACTATTGTTTAACCCTCTATGGGCCCATGTAACTTTCAAGTCACAAGCTAATATATCCACATTTTACCAAATAGTTTTAGTTTTTTTCACAAGATGATGTATACGTCTTAATTATATAATGCCTCTGAAATAATCAATAACAACATATTGATGACGGTTGGCAGCACCATCAACCTGAAATGTCAAAATAAATACCTTGCAAGTTGTCTGCAGATGGAAAATTCGGTCCATAGAGGGTTAAATAATTTACTACTTTAACCGTTTTTTTTATTTGTTATTTCACCAAACTTTCTTATTGTTCATAATGTCAAATATATCATATACTCTGTAATGAGAAAATAAAAACAATAATATAAAGAACTGAAAAGATTCTTTAGAGAAAAATGAAATTAAATGCGGTCGGTCTATTTCAAGTTTAATCGCACACAATCCGTCTGTATTTTTCACAATTCCACGCGAGAAAAACCTGAACCTGAGAAAACCTGTGTTTAGCGCAACTCTTTACGTTTCGTTTGCACGGGTATTTCGAGCGGAATTGCATGCTTTGCATCGTCACGATATCGCAACTTCGAGACAAATATCAATTGTTAATTCGTTCGGCTCGGCTATTATCACGAGAACTCGGCTGTTATTACGAGAATTTGCTGGTCGCTGCTATAAAAAATTTTCCCCGCCACACGAGCGTTATTTCAGGAAATAATCACGCGTTGTGAGTTCGCGTTTGAATCGCGCAGGTGCAAAATCCATAGGCTTTTCGCACAAGATCTATAGACGTTCGCAAGATGTTCCGCGAGCTGTCCGTCGAAAAGAAGGACGGACTTGCCTCCGACTCGATCGTCCGAAAATCTAAACCCGAAGCAATCAATCTCTTGATTAATTTCTCGGTGATCGGTTAACCCTTTTATAATTTTTCTTTTTTTTTTCATTTAATAAAATGGTATCGAAAAATAAATCGTTCGCGAGTGTCATCCGCGTGAATATCGCGCTGCTCAGATTCAGCGGTGTGGTGTCCCACGGGAACCGGTCGAGCTTGCAGAACGTTCTTGGCGCGCTCGCGTACGGCTGCCTGTTCGCTTACTCGATTCTGTACACGTACGAGTTCGCGTTGTACACCATCCACCTCGACGTCTGGATGGAGTCGTTCGCGATGATACTCTCTCTGATCGGCGGACAGGCGCGGTTCACGCTGGTTCTTCTGTTCCGGAACCGATTTCAGCGACTGCTGATGATCTGCGAGGAACTCTGGGCGACGTTGAACGCGACCGAGAAGAGATGCGTGCGCGAATGCATAAAAGCGACGAAGCGTCTGACGTATTACTACCTGTTCGGTTGCGCCTTCACGATCTTCTTCTACGCGGTCGCGAGTCTGTTCATGGGACAGCACGACGACTCGTCGAACTCCTCGACGAGAAACTTGCCGTACGCGTGTCCCGTCGAGGTCCATCGAACGCCTTATTACGAGGTGATGTACGTCATGCAGCTGTGCAGCATGATCAACGTCGGGCTCACCTGCGTCGGTGCCGACACCATCGGACCGGTGCTCATTCTGACCGTTTGCGGCCACTTCAAGGTTCTGAATTCGCGAATTCTGAGTCTGAGCGATCGACCGATTTCCTTAGGATCGCGTCCCGCGGGAACTTCCTTCGAGACGACGTTCGAAGAGAACAACGTCAGGTGCGATCTCGAAGCCTATATGCGTTATCATCAGGTAATACTCGAGTAAGTATACAAAGAAGAAGGAAGAGATATTTTAAGATTTCGTTTTACAAAGAGAAGAGTTTATACAAAATACTCACATAATACCGTAACAGAGATGCACAAAAGAATACATGATATTGTTCGACTAGATTTTGCAAAGAAGTTGAGAAGCTGACGACCGGCATATTTCTGACGCAGCTGCTCGGCAGCACGTATAACATTTCTCTCGTAGGATTTAAGCTGGCCGGGGTCAGTAAGAAAAGTTGAAAATATCGCGCACAGCGCTTTATACGAATGTTGTCGGTCATGTCAACACAATTGCAGGACGATCCCGATAAATTTAAATACACGACGCAACTGTCGATCGCGGTGCTTCAGCTGTATTTGTGTAACTGGCCGGCGGACGTTCTTCTCACGGAGGTATGATGTGAGAATGTTGCACAACTAAATTACTTAAAAAAGTAAACATACGTAAAAAAATTTAAACTAATAAATAAAATAAATAAAATAAAAATTAAAACAATTCAGTGAATTTAATAAGTAAAATAAATTAAAAATTACAAATTCAAATAAATTTTAGAGAGAAAAACGTGCAAGAATTTCTGAAGAGATTGTCGGAAACCCGACGATCTTTTTTTTTTCTTTTTTTTTCAACGTAGTTCTTTTCGCGAACGTTTAGAGATTTATATCTCGCGGCTTATATACATCACACACAGCGCATTGTTGGATATTGTGTTACAGAGCGAAGCCATAGCGAGATCGATCTACTGTACGTCGTGGTATCGCTTTCCGTATCAGCTAAGACGATCTCTAAATATTATCACAATGAGATCTCAGAAACCAGCGCAGCTCACCGCCGGATACATCGTGCCGTTATCTCTGCCAACTTTCGCGTCTGTACGTATATACTCGATTCACGTTAAACGGAAAGTAGGTATAAACTTGCTCTTTTTTTTTTGTTTTATCAACTATAAGTGACTGTTTCAGCGATAATACTTGTTTGTTTTTTAGATGGTGTCATCCGCAGCATCCTTCTTCACTATGATACGCAGCATGAACTGACGATCGCGAATTGAGCTCGCGTGAAAAACGACGTCGTTAACAGTGTTTGTAATTATTGTAACATCAACATTTATGCATAGAGAAATGGATCGAATGTGCAAATAAAAGTTACAGAATTTTTAAATCTTCCTCAATTCCCGCGCGAAAATATCCGCGAAGGATAAAAAAAAAAAAGCGTCAGAAATACTGCGAGTTGCAAAGACAAGATCGCTATCGATAACCGTTTAATTGCCATTCATCATTAAAAGTCACAAGTCGCGGCAAGAGTGGATAATAACGGGCGAGACTTATTGGAGACAAGACGAGCTTTTTCTCGGATTAGCTCTCGAATTCTAGACGACGTTCGTCGGCGTTGACAACGTCAGAAGATTTAGCTGTGCCCGGAGACACTTCGCTTCGCACGGCGCTCCGCTACAATTGCTTAAAGTAACGAGGCAGCCGTTAACCTCCGCGATAACTAATCCGAAGGATAATGTCGGAGAGAGAAAGGCTTTCGATGTAACTCTTGGCTTAAGCTTGGCATCGATCATTTTCTTTTTCCGAGGTGCTTCGCGCCTCTCTCAGAAGAGAGGCGGTCTTCGTGTCGAGAGAGTTGCCGCATCACGAGAAATACAGAGAGAGAGAGAGAAAGAGAGAAAGAGTTAACTGAGCGCTGTCCATCCGTTTGTGTGTGGCGAGGTTCGCGATAAAATTCTCTGGAATACGTGCGAATCGTGCGAAGCCAAATCCGGACAACAAAAGGCTATAAAAGATCGCCGAGCGCTACGGTGTATCGAGAAAATAAAAATCAGTTTTGAGATAAAATCACAAATGCACGTTGCAAAATTAGTCGCGCACATTTGACGCGACTAAGTGATACGTCAATTCAAAATGCTGACACATCACGTCTGTAAAAACTGTCAAAGGAATGTATTAAAGATCAAAATCTGAAAATTGAGAAGAAGACTTCTCTTTCTCTCTCTCTCTCTCACCTCATTTATATAAATATACATTCTGAAATATTAAACGTCAATAAAAAAAAAAAGTATCAGTGACATTTATACAGACTGGGGAAGATGAGAATAAGACGTGACAGTTGATAGCGAGGGCAATAGAATTTTCTTCGATGCAACATTACCGCGCTAACAAGCGAGCCTAGCAACTTTTCGCTCTGAGAAACGTGGCTTCTTTACTTTTCGGCCAATAATATACTTCGCGTCGCTTTATATAGCGAAGAACGAAATCCGCGCGCCTTTCGCGCGGAAATCATATTTACGCATTGAAAATAACACCCATAACGTCCTGATTATTCACATGCTCGTATGAAAAAAAAAAAAAAAAAAATCAAAGAGAGAGAAAAAAACAAAGAAGACTTGATGTCATATTCTTCTCGCACATTTGCACACGCGCACAATCGTACTTTTGAAAAATTTGACAAAGCACTCGGAGTCAAGATTCGTGAAATCCGTAACGTAAGAGTGTGAGATGTAAAGAACGGGGGAGAAAGTGCTGTTCTCGAGTTCACGGAGGGCGAAGGATGCTAAGAAAAAAATAGAGTGCGAAATGATGCGGTAGATAAACGACAGGCTCGTAGATTCGCCGTGGGATATCGCGCGCGAAAAACTCATTGCCTTTCATGAGGAACGGCGAGAATGTTCTTCAAGACCGATGGTCAATCCCATCCAATTCTTTTTCGTAATGTACGACCGAACGCGCGAGAAATAATATAAATAAAGATGAGATGCGCGCGAAAAATAAATGTAATCGCGAACGGCCGCGATACACATGCGTTCTTCTTGAAAGAAATATAAGGTGGTTCGTCAATTTCCACGCCTGGCGCGTGTCGAATATAAACAGAAAATCACCGATGAACATCGTGTCGGTCGAAATGAGATGTATCAAAGGAAAAGAAAACGACACACGCATGTGTCATGTCGCAGTTACGTTTCGCAAACGCGATTACACATCATTCGCGCACGAGAATCGCTATCACACGGAGTCCTTGGTCCCTTTGGGAGCCACCTATTAAGGGAGACCGTTTTCGCGCGAATTGAATTAACTTTACGGACTGCAGGTTTCCGGGGAACGCGTTCGTTTCCGTATTAATTATAGCGGTGCAGGTTGAGAGCGGCATCTGCCGCTGACGGCATCGTCTCTCATACGAGAAGGTGTGCGGGCAAAGAGATAGGACGTCTAAAGGAGGATGAGAAAGGGGCGAGAAGAAGAGGAGGAAGATACGGTGGTGAGACACCGGAAAAGGTGCGCGCGGCAGGGGTAAGGAAGAGCTCCGGGAACCCTCGATGCGTTGGCGCACAATAAAGAAATTCCACGATTTTCAGCGGGAACGATACCGGACGCGAGAAATCGCGCGTTGTCATCGTCGCATACCACCTTAACCGTTCAACGAAACGCGGTCTCACTCGAGATAATAAAATCCATCGAGCCAGCCAGCGCAGCGAATCGACATCGTCTGTTAGGGCGCGTGAAATATGTCCCGATATCATCATCGGGAGAAATTAAAAATTACGATCTCCGCCGAGGCGCGCGCGAATCAACTTTCTCTCTTTCTCTCTCTCTCTCTCTCTCGCCTCTTAAAAAAAATCAATCTCCTTTCCTTTTCAGATTAAATTACGCGAGCTTGTGCAAATGAAATGAAGGTATCGCAATACGAAATCAATTTTCACCGAGCAGATCCACTTTTTTTTACTTGTAATTTATAATATAATGTTACGGTGTTAAAATTACATACATATAATTATAATACGCGCGCTGTAAATTATATAAATTATTATTTATTGCCAAACCTGGTCTCGAGTACGGTTTTACTACACTTTGTTCCACGCTCGACCCAATTGGGCAATTATCAGCACATCGCGCGTTTGATCCCGCTTATCCACGTTGATGGAGATGGTTAATGATTTTGCGGGTTGACACGATTGAACGGCGCTTCGAGAGGTTCTCGCGCGTGTTCCGAAATCGATCGACCGGTTGCCACGAGCAACGTCGCTCGATCGGACAAACTTTATATATCTCGAAAAAAATCGGGGAAGCGACGCGAAGCTTCCGACAGAACCGAGTAGATTTCTGTCTGAGAATATCACGAAGAGAGTAAACGACAATGTTCTTCGCTGAGCGCGGAACGCGTAGGTTTAAATTCTTGTTTTTTTTTCTTCCTTTCTCTCTCTGTCTATCTCTTTCTTTTTTTTTATTCTTTTCCCGTATTCTTACTTAATGTTGAACTCTCTATTCAAGGACAGCATGACAGGACTTGACGAGTCCGATTGCACTCACGCAAAATGGCCGCTCTCCAGATCGACGCGGAGAAGCAACCGAGGGACTTCCTCGAAAACGAACGATAAATAGTCTGCGCGGATGAAACTATCCCGCGGAGATTAAATTCGCGATACCAAGCAAGATGTAGCATCGCGAAACCGTCTCCGCGTGGCGAAGACGTTCGGAAGATATACATCGGGAATGGATGGTAACTCGCGATGTCTTCGTGTATTTGTAGGTAGTGTCTCGACTCATTGAATTCTATTCATCCTGCATCCGACTTGCGCATCATTCAATTACGCGTTTTCTCAGCTCCGGTCTCTCGCTCCGTTTGTATATATATACATATCTATATATGTACACATCCGGAACGAGAGAGAGAGAGACGGAGTCTCTTTCGCAGTTTCCTCGATTTCCATACAATGCATTATTTGGCATCTATTGTTCTCGTGGCGCGTCTTCTGCGCGCCAGTCGTCAAAAATTATTTCCAACGTAGAGAGTTAATATATTATAACTTGTCTTTATTAATTGTAGGAAGAACGGAGACACAGAGTGACAATATGAAAAAAACAATAATGCTTTTGTTGTTTGCAGGACGGTGACAAAAGTGTCAGCGAGGAACATCGTCGTTTGCTTTCGTCATTCTTTCGTGAAATTGGATCGTAATGAAATTCTATTAAAAACATGAAAATTAATAAATTAATTAATATTAGTCAAGGTGCTATCAAGATTGTCAAGTCAATAAATCCCAAAATGGAACGAACTCCTAGGGGGCTTTTTTATTATCTACGTGCAAATACTTATTCTTATCGTTTTGGTATTACAAATTATGTAATGTAGTTATAAAAATCATTTATTCATACAATTCCACAAAAATAAATGTGAAAGAATGTGTCATCCAGTTGTTTAAATTTTAAATCGCACGTGTGTGTTAAATTGTAAGAGAGAGTTTTATAACTGACAAATAATTAAATTTCCGATTTAAACGGAATCAATTAACCAAGATAATTACAAGCCGAGTAACTGCTGACTCTAGGCGATTTTGATTTTATTATTATATTTTCTCGTTTACTCTCGAGCGATCTCGAAACCATCGTTTAGATTTACTCCGCCTCGAGATGGTAATTCATCGATCCACGTGTAAAACCGCGCGAGCTGAAACCGATTAGCGCGTCCTTTAGCAACAAGTTGCACCTTGTGTGTTTTCTCAGGAGTTTCCTAAAATCAACAAGTGAACTCGCTTCCTGCCTGGAATTTCTATATTGCTTTCTCGTTCGACTCCACAGGTGGCAAACTGGTAACGAGAACGCGGGAATCTCTTCCACGCGAGAAGGAGTTTGTTCTCGCCACTTTTAAACGCGACACAGACGAAAGACACTCGATTCCATTGAACAAAAATAGAATTTTCACATACCCATTTTCTCATTTTATCGCCAAAAATATGCGCGCGACACGTGTAATGACAATGAGATATGTATGTATATATATGTCGGCGCTGTCTTTGTTTCTGGAACGTGATGAAAGCCGTTTTAATAAAGAGAGACGATGGTGAAAGAGAGGCGTCGAGAAACCCTCCTATAGGGAATTCTTCGCGATCTTCGCGTTCCTTCGTGGCCGCGAAGTGAATTCCGGGCGAATCGCTCTATTCCCGAGCGCCTAAAGTACTAAGAATCTTAATTGCGTTCGTGTGTTCCGTTCTAAATTAGAAAATTATTCGGTTTCGTTTTTATGATGCCGAACGCAACGAGTCGTGAATAACTTAATGATGATTGAAACGGCAGCGCTGATCGACAAACAAATTCTCTACACAAAAGAGAAAGAAGCGCAGATATCCACAATTTTGTGGAATATAATGTCAATTTCTGACGATTGACAGTTTTGAAGAGAAGTGGATCACCGGGAATGAATGAGATACGTAGAGACAATAACGACACGGGGCTGTTGTTAACAGTAGCTTCGATGTGACGGAGAGAAAAAGAGAGGGATCAAAATAATAATAAACCAAACGGGCCACGCAAAAGAAGAAACTGACAAAATCGTTGATTCATGTTCAACTTTACCTTTCGCGTTTCCGCTTTGGAAGAAGGAAAAGTTACGTGATCGTCGGATGGAAAGAAGCAACAAACAGAAGAAGGAGACACAAATAAATTTATTTATTCGAAAAGAAATGAGAGAAGGGAGAGAAGAGGGAAAGGCTTAAAAAGAAAGTGTCACACCCACGCGCGCGTATGTGTGTTGTGCGCACGCGTGCGTGAACGTGTGCGTGTCTAATACATTTTACGCGCAAACGAAAGAGCCGGGGATGGAACTCGGGGGTTGAAAACGCGGGAGTGACAGAGAGAAAGAGAGAGAGAGAGAGATGGGAAGCGCGAAAGGGGTGGGAAAAGCAGTGAACGCAGTGACCATGCGCTCTGCACGGGTGGCTGACGGGGGCTTCTGGATCTTTTCGAGGATCAAGAAGAGGACGTCGAAGAAGCACGGGAGACGCAGACGGTGGTGGGCAGAGAGCGAGCGACACGGCTCCGGCTGAGCCGGCACTAGCGAGGTGAGATGCGCCCCTATCGCCCTTATCGCTCGCAATCGTCCGTGCAGTTCCTATCGGGGCCCAACGCTCCTCGCAAGCCGGGACGCGGCTAGCAACGATAACAACGGGGACACCGGAGAAAGCTTCGCTTCCGGTTTAAAGTCGACCGATATTAGAGTGAGTAGCTTTATTTTTATTAAAAAAAAACAAACAAACAAACAAACAAAAATTGACATACAAAATGTACGAAAAGTTCGATAGACGATTTATCGTCGAATCTGAGAGAAATGGTTCACTTTTGAGTGGAGAATTCGCGCTAGGCGTTCGACGCTGTTAAAAAGAAGTGACATAAGACATAATTTTATATTTTTTAATTTTCTTCTCGATTCACGCGAGAAATCGAGAGATAAACGTGAAGTCGCGTAGACTTAACCGCGAGAAATATGATAGTTATTTACGGTCTCTATGCCACGATTTATTGGGCGAAGTGTTACCTTTCCCTCGATTCGCGTTCAGGACGACGCGCCTTTTTATCATTTAACCCAAGTGCAAGCTGCGAACAAGTTACCATCATCATTTTAAACAGGTGTCATAAATGTGAAAAAACTTAAAGATCTTTTTTACTAGAGAAAGAGAGAGAGAGAGAGAGAGAGTAACAAGTTGACGCGTAGTTTTAACATATATTCTCCACTAACGTGTCAAATATTTGTTAAAAGACACTTGAGCCTCGCTAATGTAGGATATAATGCAGTTTTATTAGTAATGTGATTTGAACGCGACAGAAAGCGTGATACTCTTGCCACAATAATAATTAATAATTTATTTTTTGATATTATATATATTGCACATTTAAATCGTCTAATATGCATATTAGAAATGTACAATATATATATATGTATGTACATACACACACATTTAATCGAGCTATAATATAATTATGCAATCGTTATTAGTTAATTAGAGAATCTAATCTCTAATCTAATCTCTAATCTAATCTCTAATCTAATCTCTCTATCTATGTAGCCGCGTGCATATGTATATTTAAATGTAAACCACTGTCGTAAATAATATTATTCTAAACCGCGTCGTGTCATGCAAGTTGAGAAGACAAGTTTGATTTTTTTACAAACCGTTTGCCCGCGAACAAGCTGCATAATGTGTATAAAAATGTTTTAACAATTTAAAAAACTTGATGTTTGATGTTTCCGCAGTGTGTTGCATTGATATCTGAAGATGATTTTCGGGATTTGAATCGCGTTAGTGTCATTTTTACACCGTTGTAAAAATGACACTAACGCGATGTTAATTCAAATTTTATATGTGAAAAATACAAAAATCATCATATCGCCGGTTGTTGATGACAATGTTAACGCGTCGATCGCATCTGCGACTTCTTCATTCTCCGACGATTTCGTTCACGAAGTCTTCGACACTTTTCGCTTCGGTACGTTGCGCCCCAGGTTGGCCGGAACACACTTTTGTCCGTCGTCCGCTTAACCGCGTAATACCGGATTTCCCGATCGCGATCTGCGCGGCTATGGAACAAACGCCCTCATTTCCACGTGTCAGTCGCAGCCTCTTGCGCGCTGATCTTTCCCGAAGCGATGTTCGCGTCAAAGCGGCGCGCTTGAGAATCGAGAGAATCGGGACGAAGAAGACGGGGTCGCTGATGGCGGAAGGAAGAAGCTCGCGCGAATTGTCGTTCCGGAGGCTGTTCCTTCTGGCGTGTCTCACGGAAAATACGACATTTTTCACAAAGAATATACAAATCCTACGGAAGAGCCGCCGACGCATCGAAGCTAATATAACGAAATCGAATATGTTCGGGCGACAAGATCGTTGTGTTTGCCGACACGACGAAACAAGACTTGCACGAAGTTTCATGTACGACTTGTCGCGAACTTAAATCATGAAATTTGCGAGAATAGGGTGACTCTCGAGGGTCGAGAGAGAGGGTGACTCTTAGACAGAGAGAGAGAGAGGGTAGGCAAGGGTTAAACGTCGCAAGCGAGGGACGTTAAAGACGGATACTCTCGTCTCTTTCTCCTCTCCTCGTTATTGCCCTCTCTCTCTCTCTTTCTCTCTCAGCTTCTGAAGCAGAAACAGGCAACGGACTGCTACAACCTCGTAAGGTTAATAGAGTGATCGGTAACAAGGTTATAAAGCAATCTGCATAACCCTGTCCGGTACTTTAACCGACCTACTAAGGGGGGTGAGAGGAGGGTTTCACGTTACTGCGAGCGGTGTCGTAATTACCGGTCCTAATGCGATTACCGGATCGACAAGGCCGGTAATCGAGCAACTCGGAGAAGATTCTTTTCCGGTTTTTAATTATCTCGGGGTGGTTTTTTCTTCTTCTTCATAATTAATTCTTTTTTTTTTTTTGCGCGCGATTCTCGAGACGAGATCTTCTAATATCGGCAGGCCAAACAAAAAAAGTTCTATAAAGAACGTGTCCGTCGCATTTCCAGCATTTCAGGCGCCGGTGATAGGCACGGATAGCGGGAAATTCATTTACGCACGATCGAAGGCGTAATTTTATTTCCAGGATCCAGTCTCTAACCTGATCTCGTCTGAAGCTTCGTTTCACGGCTATCCGAGTTTGATTTACATCCGATCCCTTTCCTCCCGCAGTCGCATTTCGACACGTAGAGATAGAAACGTACATAACACACATCCCGCTTGGAGACTCAAATCGCTTTTAAATTTCGCAAACAATCGGGCGCGCAGATAAATTGAAATTTATGTGCGACACGGGAACATTTCTGCTAGTCAGAAATCCGCTGTAAAAACAAATACTGCGAGCAATATACGTTTATCATTATGCAACAAATATAAAATTATGTGTTATTTCAATTCACAAAAGATGTTACGCGGGAATTACTTAGAATTTGCGGAAAATTTTGGTCGTTGAACTGCGATTTGTCTTCGGTAGAAACGACGTGTACGACTTGTCTAGACTATACGAGGACGATAAATTCCGGATAATAATACGGCCGATATATCGTCGGGTGATCTATTCCAATTTGCTATACATTGAGCGGTTGATTGTTTCTTTATCGAAAGTTTTCCAAGAGAAATCGGCAATCGACTGAAATTATCTAGCAAGTAAAATCACTTTTCCCTCGGCTGACAAACATTATTACAAGACACATCAGCCGTTATTTGATTTACAATAAATCAAATGATCTGAGAAATAATTTTTTTTAAGAACTTTGTACGAAGCGTCGGTCTCCACCGAATGATTATCTCATCATCGCGACGATTCTTATGCGACACGTCATCGTACATCCTTAATGAACAGGTGGTGCATTGTCTGCGATCCGGCAGACCGTCGAGACATCGGTCGGAATGCGCGTTGAACGTCGTCGTCAAACGCTTAATATACATTGTCTTACGTGTAACGAATCTATCGCGTTGATGAGACAAACGAAATTATCTTAACTGAAAATATCGACGGAAGAATAATTTTTCGGAAAAACATCGAGAGAAGTCGTTCGCTTCGTATAAAGAACCGACGTTATTGTGTATACCGGTCAATTTTAATAAACGCTGTTTTACGGAAGTTCGTGATATTTCCGAATCAGGGGTAGCGTTGTAGTAGCTATCTGCACCGATCGGACCGGCAGGAACGGAACTTCACAGTGATTTTATACGGAGGTAATGTGATTTGCGACGAGAGGCGTAATTCGCTTATCATGCAATATCGCGCGACAAAGAGAGAACCCAGCACGCTCGCAGTCTTCGGCATAATTGCCCCGGGTTACGATAAAACGTCACCGAGACACGACAAAGAGAGCGTATATATGTATATATAGGCAACGGGATTGCCGTAAGAGCGTCACGTAAGGCATATAAATGTGCCCATTGTATCGCTCAAAAATCTTCATTATTAAAAATCTTCACGCGGAGTTCTTCAAACGTTCAAAAGTTTTATAGTCTCGCGAACGAGATGAAAATTACTTCAACACGATCGATAAATAGTTTTGTTAATTAAAATGGCAAACCGCGCGACAAGTTTGCGTCGCGGTTTCAGACGTAAAAATTTTTTTCTTTTGAAAACAAGACGAATGCGAAGAAATCGTAGAATGTGTGTGTACACAATTTTACACACAGCAACGATGAAGATACCAAAATCTCCATCGAGCGGTTCGGTCGTTGACCTACTTGTTGAAACCCAAAGCAACAGTTTGCCCTTTAAGCTATCTGCATCCCTTTCCACTCTCGCGTCGACATCTTGTTCTCTTCTTTCGAAATCTCTCATCGATATGAACAAAATCCCTCGAGAGTTTCTTACATGTAATTAATCGACTGTTCTCCGATTACTTCTTTTCTCGAAGATTCACATTTCATATAGAAAATTAAAGTTTTTCGCATTATTCTTTCGTTTGAGGATAAAGGATCTCCAACTACATTATTTAATTGGCTGTGTAGCAGAAATGTAACAATTTAAATTTTTACGTATTAAATGTAATATTGATTAATAAATATATACATGTATATATGTATGTACATATATATATATATATATATATACATCTCGGATAAACACAGCAGAAATATTATTGAATAAATAGCGAATGTTGCAGACGATGCTTATACACCAGTCGAGGATAGAGAGATCAGGTTCAGATCATTTATCAAAAGATCTGTGAATAATACAGATCCCGAGGGAGGTAGTGAAAACGATATAGCTAGGAACGTAGCAACCAGAAACTAATTGGTTCTTAAAGTAGGAACTAACCCTCCTTGGACCGTAACTTCGTTCGCGGAACAACTGGAGAAACTGCTTAAAGGACCGCTTCTCCGTCATTATTACCGATAACTCTCTGTCATTGTGTGTACAAGAATCGACATGTATTTTAGATGAGTTGAATAATGAAGACAATTACGTAAGAAGAAACAAATGTAAGCGACGAATAAAAAAATGTTGTGTTGTTTTAATTAAAATTATACACACACACACACGAAAACTACGGTTTACATCAAAGTGACCGCGTCTAATTGCACAAATGTATTTCAAGTACTTGCAACAGTAAGTAAATTTTCGTTAATATTTATACGAACTCACGTGGCGGAAAATTCAATTTCTTGTTTTACCCGAACGGTAGATTTGCCATTTTCGCGGAAATATAAGTTCGATTTCGGAGCGTGTTATTGTGGAAACGACAGGACTTTATATTTCCTTTACTACATTATATGAAAAATTCTGACGATCGCGATTCGCACGCGGAAACGACCGCGGGGGAAGGACGACGACGTAGAGTGGTCACGTTTTTACAATAAATTCCGCGCGTGCTGACGGTCGACACGACTTTTCTATTAGCACAAACGACCGAAAACTTTGGTCAGTCGATTTCGTATATGCGATACGATAGCGTAATTTCGCGTTATATATGTATATATATATATATACATCGGGAACGGGCACAGCCAACACTCATCTATGGCGCTGAGCACAACACGCGAGTCGGACATAACGACGCGTCGATGAGTCGGCAGGTCTCGCGACCCACTTCATCAAGCGGGCCGAGAAGCTGTCAATCGCAACACGATTATATCCCGTCAAACCCTTTCAACGACTCGTACCCACCTGTCAACACCTCTCTCCAGAATCTCGTCCACTCGAGTCTCCACCCGGTCTCTGCGCGCTATCGGCTCCGCACGAGCGCTTTACCCTCTCCCCTGAAAATTCAGACCTTGCAGTTATAATCACACGATTATCAAAATCATTGTAAAAGCAAGTATATCTATATTGTCATCATTATGTAACATCTGTTTTCGACTTGCAAACTTATTTTTTTGTTTTTTTTTGTTATAAATTGTTATGTTATTTTTACAAAAACAATTCGTCAAAACAAGAGAAGCACAGTTGTTATTAATAATAATCCTTATGTCAATTAAAAAAAAATGATTAGATAAAAACACCAAATAACAGTTTGACGCACGAGAAGAGATTACGAAGATGTTCGTGCTGCGAAGCAGGAGCGCAAACGCGCATCTGCGCGTTTCACGACGCGGGGGAGCGAGACAGGCGACAAATCGGCGTGGGCACAGAAAAAGAGGATTTTCCGAAGGATTTTACGGCGGAATGAAAGACACGCGGGAACGTGGAGCGATCGTTTCCGAGGGGAATATAGCCAGTTACGGAAGACGCGAAACGTTGAAAATACGAAAACCACGTACAAACAGAGAACCGTCTTGCGGTCATTCTTTGCCGTAATTACCGAGAAGATGAGAGAACGAAGGGCGGATGGAGAAACGGGGTGGCAGAAGGGAAGAGGCGGGGAAGGGAGAGTCAGTCATGGCGGAAGGTAGCGGAGCTTATAAGTGGCACGAGTGGTAGCGGGTCTTTTCCGAGAATAATGCGCGGACCTCGGGGAGTTGGCTTTCAGGAAAATGCTGATTGCTTCCCCGCTCACGCTCCTTTTCCCTTCGTACCAATTCTCCATCCGCCTATCTCTGCCCCTCCTCGCTCTTTCCACCCACGCTATCAATCTTCGACTTCGTCAGCCGCGGGGATGTATAACGCTCCGTGCGCGACCACCCTCGTGTGTGTGAAATGCGTATAGATCTTCTCGACGCTTCTTCCTATATCGGTCCCTTTAAGAGAGAGTCGCGCTTATCTCAAGCTGCAAACTTCTCTCTCCCCTGACCTTTCCTGTCGCGCGCATCCCGCATAAAAATGGGATATAACTATTGGAGTGCATCTTATCGTTTAACAATTGTTTTTTTTTTCGTTTGGTGAGAAAAATACAACTATTAGCTGAGAATATTGTTCAATAATCTTTTCTGAGTAAATTGTTTCTTATTTAGATCATATGACCGACTGAAATTATAGATGTGGATATCCAGAATAAATTGTGTTGATCACAACTGATCCGCGTGCGCACATTCGAAGATGTAAAATCCGATACATAATGCGTCGAAATAATGTTTCGTCTTAGAAAGTGGAATTTCTTACGTCGCGACTTTCTCTCTCTTTCTCTCTTTCTCGCTTTTTCTCTTTCTCTTCTTAATAAAATAGGGTAAAGTACCGTGAGCGTGCAAGACGAGCGTTTTAAGTCGCAATAGCCTTTGATGCTTTGCCTTTTCAGCGAGCGAGCGTGAAAATTAGGTGAGCTAAAAGCGTTGGGTAACCGAGTTATTACGAATAAAAGAGAGGCGAGCATCGCGGGGGCGTATGGCAGAGAGCGGCGCACGGCACGGGGTGGCACTATTAAAAGCCTGTAATTAATGCGGTTAATTGTATTGCGTTAAACGAACGTCGAGTTGATAGCGCGCGGACGCTCCAACGACGAAACGGAAGTGGGCTTTCGGAAAAATCGCGATTCGATACGGTCGATGACGTGTCGCGCGCTTTGCTTTGAAGAAAAGATTTTCACGCTATAAAGAAACACATCGAGAAAAACTTTGTTAGAAATTTCTCAATAAGAAATAATTTTTTTGAGAAAACGTGTACACACATACACAGAGAGAGGGGGAGGGAGAGAGAGAGCTGATTTTATCTTCTCGAGAACAATTGCGGGAGGTTTTAAAAAAAAAAGATCGAACCGAGATGGTGACCGAATTCAAAGCGTTCCGAAGTCGGTCCTGGAAAATAAGTGCGCAAAATACGATTCGCGCGAATCTAAAGGAAATTGCGAAGGAGTGGATCGTAATTTTGACCACTTTCTACAATTGACAATTTTCAGCGGAGACAATTTTACCTTCTGTTCAGGCGGACGTTCCTTTCGCGTCTTGTTCGGACTTTTTTTCTCTTTAGATTCGCCTTACAATTTCTTTCAATTCGCGATCTTATGTAAAGAATATTGGATTTTATGCAAAAATATTGAATAAAAATTTGGATAACATGTCAATAGAACTTTGTAGTACATACGTGCAGCACGATTGCAAAGTATTTGACAAAAACCACGTTCTCTTTTTTTCGAATTCAGAAAAACAATAAACACACGAATGTGTGTAAGCGATTTAACAAGTGCTTGATGAAAAAGCCTGCGAGAGCTCGAACGCGATAAAGTGTCAACGTAATTCGGGTAAAAGTGTCAACGCGCGCGGGACTCAATTGTTCATCTTAAGTGAAAGAACGTTTCCTTCGAGTGACTCGACGAAATCGGATTTTCGTTTGATTTCTCGTTATTTCTATTTACCCACTTTGACTTCTGCTCCGAAAATAGAATCGATCAAGTGGACGTGATGCAACGTTACTAAGTATTATTGCTTTTGTAGTTTCCAAAAAAAATATCTTTTGTTGTCTGTTTGACATTGTTGTAGAACATCAGCGGGGGAATAAAATTTGAGAATGGGAAGTATAGAATGGAGCAATTGGCTGCAACGGTGCCGACAATCTCGCCGGCTCGTTCTCGTCATCGTTGCCATCGCATTGCTGCTGGATAATATGTTGCTAACGACTGTAGGTAAGTAGGATTAAATATAGAAACTGTTTTATATATATGCAAAATAAAATTTTTTTGATTTTACGAAAAAATGTTTTGTAAATATGTTTAACGCAAAATGTATAAAAACGTTATATATATATGTATATATATATATTATATATTTATATATATGTACATATGTTTTATACGTATATATGTATTTTATAATTATACGTATTTTATTGTATTATATTACGCGGTTATTCTACACAACTTTTTTCCGCTTTTTGACATCCTTTCTATTCCACTCGACTCCTATCGACGTCCACCACACTTCTCGGTCCCGTGAACTTATGTTTAATTCAAAAAACGTTCGTTTATTATACTAGCCCGAGACGTCGACAGAACGTATGGACCTTCGTGTATCGTGCCACCAATCCGGATAAGTGGTCATGCATTTATGTAGTATCGTAGACCTGTGATCGTCGCGTACAAATACCCAACTAACGTCGTCACGTTTATCAAGCAGATCTCAAGATCCATTTCCGATCGCGCAATAAAATTGTTTTCGATTAATTATGTATTTATTCATAACGCACTGTGTAATCTTCTTAATGTTATATTACAATTAAAAAAAATAGAAAAAAATATTTTACTCGCGTTTCTGATTGTGAGAGTTTTTAGATTGAAATAAATTTATAAAAGTAAAATTATACTTTATAATTAAAAAAATTTAGTAATTTTTTATGTTCTATAATAATTGTTCAAAAACCACGAGATATCGACAAAAAAAATTTGTGGTTGGAGGTGCTGGGATTTGAACCCAGGACTTTCAGCATGCGAAGCAGACACTCTACCACTGAGTTACACCCCCAGTTGATAAGAGACACCTTAAACTTGCTCTACTCGAACTGTCTTATCTTCTTTTTATTTTATTTTTATAAATATATTATTATATAGAATAGAAAAGTTTTATATTATGACTTTATCTCTGTTATTTTATAAATATCTTATTACAATAATTAAATCTTATACGTACTTTGTTCTACTAAAAAGTTTTCACAAAACATTTTTCGATATTGATTTTCTAGTTCACCTTTATTTATAAAAATCATAATATTTAAACATATAACTGATAAATTTTTACAGTTCCAATAATACCGGAATTTCTTTATGACATAAAACATCCTAATGCGACATTAAGCGAACACTTGGAAGAAAGCAACACGTTTCGACGAACAACAACCACCATCTCCATCACCGCTACGACTGTGCCGTCAAAAACAACAACATCAAAATGTATATGTCCCCCAAACATATCGGATTCTCAACAAATAGAGTTTATACAGGAAACAACCCTTTCTACAGAACCACCGGGTAAAATATTTATTGCCGAATTAGAGGAATTGAAATTTTTTTTACATTTATACAAAATCTCTCTGTTTTCTACAAAATCTTTCGGCAAGTTCAATTTTTTTGCTCATTTCTTTTTTTATTTCAGAAGTTACCACTGTAGCCAATCTTACATTGTCGGAAACGAAGGAAAAAGAACAGAGACATCGGGAATTACTAGAAGAGACTGTGGCAGTGGGAATGATGTTCGCTTCCAAGGCTTTTGTCCAATTGTTAGCTAACCCTATAGTCGGGCCCTTGACCCACAAGTAAGCCTTGATATTTTTCACAGTCGTTTTTTATTCAGAATGTATTAGATTCGTGCGATGAATTTGTTGAATAAAATTATATGAATTTTTATCTATTTTTTTCAGGATTGGTTATAGTATACCTATGTTCACCGGATTTATTATTATGTTTCTGTCTACCCTAATTTTCGCTTTCGGAAGAAGTTACGGCATACTTTTTCTTGCGCGTGCTCTTCAAGGTATCGGTTCATCGTGTTCCAGTGTTTCCGGTAAAGATTTTACATATATATTGTATTTTATATTGATTCAATAGTACGCTAAATGAGAACATTAGCATATGATATTCATAAACTCAAGCAATGCGTTGTCGTACAAGCATCGGTGGTTCAGTGGTAGAATGCTCGCCTGCCACGCGGGCGGCCCGGGTTCGATTCCCGGCCGATGCAACGTTAATATTTTTGCACATTTTTGTTCTTGTAAATTTGACAAAAGATTTTATTTTTTATTTATTTTATTTTAATAAAGATTTTATAATTTTGTAATCGGACAAAAAATCTTATTTTACATTTTAAAATCGTGCAAGTTTTAAATTTTATATAAAATAAAATGATAAATAATAATGTTTTATGAATATATTACACACTTTTTGTAAAATTAAAAAATAACCAAACGCTTTCGTGACAAATAAATATTTTATCACCACTCGATCGCCGATATGTTACGTCTTTGGTATTGCTTGAGTAAGATACATACATTACATATTCGCAATACTTTCTATAACAGGTATGGGTATGTTAGCGGAAAGATATCAGGACGACAAAGAGCGCGGTAACGCGATGGGTATAGCGCTGGGCGGTTTGGCTCTTGGTGTCCTCATAGGCCCCCCGTTTGGCGGAGTAATGTACGAATTTGTAGGAAAATCCGCTCCGTTTTTAGTTCTTTCCGCGTTAGCTCTTGGCGATGGATGTAAGTAAATCGCTCGTTATTTTTATTAGTAAAAAAAAAGATTTATCATATTTTATTTGTATTTTTTAGTATATATGTATATGTATAAAACACTATAATTTTTCCTGTAAAATCAAGTATTGCAGCTTTTGATGCTTCAACCTTCGGTCGTGTACACGGAAGCAGAACCGCCATCGCTTAAGTCTCTCATTACTGATCCCTATATTGTTTTAGCAGCCGGTACGAAAAAAATTACTCTATAGAATATAAACAAATTAAATAAATAAACATGACCAAAAGAGAGTTCAGTTGTTTACGCGTTTATTTATTTGGCAGGTGCAATAACGTTCGCAAATATGGGTATTGCTATGTTAGAACCGAGTTTGCCGATATGGATGATGGACACAATGGGCGCGAGTCGCTGGAAACAAGGTGCCACCTTTTTACCTGCGAGCATCAGTTACTTGATCGGAACAAATCTTTTCGGACCACTTGGCCACAAAATGGGCAGGTAAGTCTAATCTATTTAAACAAACAAAGAGACACTGCATAACAAAAATATTTCAATTTTGATAATAAAATGACGAGAAAAATAATAATGAGACGAGAAAAATTTATTCTATAATTTCTTGTCTATTATTTCTTGTTCGATGAATTTGTAAGCATGAAATAAAAAAAATTTGGTTTTGGAGGTGGCCTAGAAATATTAGAAATTACCTGATACATCGCCCGGATAGCTCAGTCGGTAGAGCATCAGACTTTTAATCTGAGGGTCCAGGGTTCGAGTCCCTGTTCGGGCGAATATTTTTTGTAAATTAGCTTGATATTTATTTATCTTGCACATTTTTTACAGATGGTTGGCTTCGCTAATAGGTCTTGTCGTTATTGGTATTTGTCTGATGTGTGTAAGTACACTATATGTTTTTATTATCACAAGTGTAATATACAACTGTCATTTTTTTGCGATGTACGTGAAAGACATTTTGTTACAGAATTCTGTCGAGTCAATTAACATTTTATGAACGTCAAATTAAAGACAATATTGATTAACATTTTTTATGAATGTTTGAATTAAAAACTACGACAGAGTTCTTGACTCGATTTGTCTTATGTAAATTAACAGACTTTCGATAATATCGAAATCGTGATTATATAATTAAATTATCTAATCTAAAAAATTACACAACTCTATCTTAGATTCCACTGGCAAGGAGTATTGATCATTTAATCGTACCAAACGCGGGTTTGGGATTCGCAATCGGCATGGTGGATAGTTCAATGATGCCCGAGTTAGGATATTTGGTGGATATAAGACATAGCGCTGTTTACGGAAGCGTTTACGCAATCGGTGACGTGGCATTTTGTTTGGGTTTTGCTATAGGTGTGTGTACAAATTAGTTTTTTAGCGTTAAACGTTACAATAACTATATAAAAAAATAAAAAAAAAATAAAAATAGAAGTCTTGCATCGGCCGGGAATCGAACCCGGGCCGCCCGCGTGGCAGGCGAGCATTCTACCACTGAACCACCGATGCTTGTTGTCATCCTTTCCATTCTGATCCTTTTCAGTTACGATTTCGTTTAGAAACATTTTAATAATTATAATTGTTAAAATAAATTTATTAGAAATTTTTATAAAAAAAAAAATATGTGTGCGTCTAAGATTAATCTTTTGTTTTGTATAAAATATAAAAGAGTTGTGCTATTCGTTGTAGGTCCGGCTTTGAGCGGAACTTTGGTCAATACTATCGGTTTCGAATGGATGCTTTTTGGCATAGCCATATTGAATTTTATTTACGCACCTCTCATGTATTTCTTAAGAGCACCGCCGACCAAAGAAGAGAAAAAGGTAACATCATACTCTGCACACATGTATATTTTTTAAAATGAATTTATGAGAGAATCTCGTGCGTTAATTCTGTGTATCATAAATTACAGTCGTTAATAATTGGAGAAAAGTCATCCGTGCGTTACGTCACCTACCAGAATGAAGAGGAGGACCAATAAAACTCTAATTTTCAACGTTAGCTTATTGTACTGCACATTTATCTGCAGTCTTTTTTTTAATGTTTCTAACACGTGCTAAACCATTTACTGTTTTATTTTGTTAATGCTATTTATACTTTCTTGTTTTATCTAGGACATATAAATTGTAACTAAGAAACACAAAGAGAATTTTTAGTTTCTTTTCTCTTTGTCTTATTTTATTTTACTATATATATTTTTTCTCTTTATTGTCTTATTGTATCATTTATCATAATTTGTTGTTCCTTAATATATTACTAAAATATATTCATATTTGTTTTAATAAATGATATAGGAAGTTATAAACATCGACAATAAACGCAACTGTTGACATGCACTTGATAAATATTTGACAAACTAATAATGTGTAAAATGTAAAATCGTTTGTAACCAAGTAACATTTTCCTAACAGATTGTCGACTTACATGTTGTCGGTTTAAAAAGAAAACAAAAAGATCTTACAAAATAGATTCAGTGAAATTGCACAACACCATACACTCGATATAACAATATCAAGAGTAAATAGTCTATAAAAGAGAAACGAGGACAGATATATCTTGCTAAATATATACATATATTTAAACTTGCTATATATAGAGTTTAAAGAATCGCGAAAATATTCTCTGGAGAAGACTAGCAACAACAGAACATATAAATATGTTGTGAAATTATATCTCTGTGTATTCTCTGCATCATCGGTACTCATCGTGATACAAAAAGATGAGTATGCAAAAAGCGCATTGTGTATCGTAACTCAATAGGCGAATTATAGTAGCGACTAAAGCCTGAAGTAATTAAATTGTGAGAAAGCCAAAAAAAAAAAAAAATAAAGAAAAATTTACTTATATCTTAGAACGATAGAGAAATATATTTGTTAGTGTTTTAAGATATTGATAAGAAAAAGCAAGAATAGAGAGACGCGATGCAAAAGTTACTCTTAAATATAAATCCACAAGGCTTACAGTTAGAGATTTAAAACGCATATTCTAAGGCTTATCGCAGAAAAAACCAAATGCATGGAAAAAGTATTGAGAGCACGACTTTATGAGCAATGTTATAAGTTGGATGTTAATAAGTAAATAAAAAAAACAAAATTGAAATGAGACGTTATATCGAGCAGACGGGATACGTATGACGATTGGGATCGCGTGGTCGGTAAATCGTACGGGAAAAAAATTGTCCAGGACTTTGAGGTGACAAATTGGCGCAAAATTCAGCTTCGAATAAGAAGAACTGCCCGATGTGGTTTCCTTGAATGGCTGCAGGGAAACCGGCGTGATAAAGACGGTCGGGTGTTTTAAAGAGTTCTTCGTACGGAATTGCGGTCACATGATTTGAAAACTAAATTTATTCTCGTCGCAAACGAACGACGCGACCGTTCACGCGAGATGTCCTGGCGCGTGCGACTTACGGAGGAAAAACTCACGTCGATCCCGTCGTCGTCGCGGATTGAGAAGAACGAGCGGACGTACCGCAAAACTCTTGTTGCGAATCCCGACGTTTCTCGACAAATTCTTCGTGATTACCTTTTGTTCTCCGCCGTTTACGAAACGCATGCCGGCAAGAGTGTGTGGAGAAAATCACGGGATATGCAGCAACGAAGAATGAAAATATTATCTAAATGCATATTAAAAATGCGGAAAGAAGGAAAAAGTAAGAGAGAAAGAGTGGGTAGAATATAAAATATAATAATAGAATAGAGACGGGTTGCGTGCGCGTGGAGCGTTCGCGGGATCTGCGAGTCATACGATAAACTCTATGAGGATTCGCGGCGGGAAACTCTAGTAGCGTCGATTTATTTGATTCCCGAACGGAGAAATCGGCCGGCCGAACAGACCCTCTTCTCGAAAAATAGAAAACGTTCGTAGAAGCAATATAGAAAGTAGTGTAGCAACACACACGCGGTAATGCGTGTGTGTGTGTGTGTGTGTAATATCAAATAAGCGCATATGTGCAAAATCTATTACGTATCGCTCTCTATGTGGTGTATCTTCGTGTAAATGTTATCATACTTGGGAAAAAAAAAATTGTCGTGTATTTATTAATTATCTATCGATATATATCTCTCTAATCGTGTATTTTGACGTGAGCAGAATAATCTTGCTGAGATCCTAAGCTACTCGAAGATTTTCGCCTGTAAAGGCAAATAAGACATCAGACATATGAAAAGAAATGTGTAGTTGCGCGTCCGCAGATTATCTAGAATCATTTTACCATCTCGCTCTCTGATTGTCAGCGTATAATAATATTAAAAAAAAAAAAAACCGTTAAGCCGCGTTATACAAGTAATAAGAGCGTATATATTTACTGGTAGAAATCTAAAGTTATAGTTAAAAAAAAAAAAAAAAACACACACAGTCTACATTAACGTCGTATGTCGTTCGAAGTATTGTTGGTGTCAAATCTATTGTTCGCGTATACAATTAAAAAAAATAAAAAAATAAAAAAATAAAAAAAAAACAACAGCAGAGGGGGGTCTGTGAAAGCTTCGGAGGGAACGGTAAACAAGGATAAGGATCCGACGGTATCAGAACCTACAGCTTTTCACTGCGGATTCCGTTACACAAGGTGCGTAAATATTTACGTGCCTACTCCCGGTACGAAGCGCGAGTCAATTCGACTCGCGGATCCGTTTGTCGGAACGCTCGCCCAGTCGAAACTACATACATATATATATTTAAAGATGTATATGAGATCCATATGCATACGTAGAAAAGAGAGGAAAGAAAAAAACATTATTAACGGAAGTTGTGAGCGAAGAAAAGAAGGAAAAAATAAATATACATGCGAGCCGAAATTGTGACGATTTTTCGAGCCGTGCGCGCATGAATTTTTTAAAATTAGTATTTTGTTCTTTACAGAGAGTTTAGTGTCACATTTTATATAAATTATTACGTAATACGTAGAGAAGTTTGTTTTACATAGATATGACTAACACGGTTTGTTGTTACCGATCGTTGTCTCGAAATGATATTTGTAAAACGAAAATGATATTACGATGGTGTCGCGAATATTAAGTAAGTATATCGCATAGACTGTATTCGCACAGAGTATTTTACCGATCTGTCGTTCCTCTATATATCTGTAAATATATAGCGAAAGTAATTTAAACACGATGTTGAACATTTATCGCCGCTGAGATACCTTGAAACGAAATGTTACATCGCCATACCCGATTCCGCCGTATAGTTTCAGTGTATTTTTGTATTTACTTTGAATTTTGTTCTCCCGCTTAAATATGTATACATGTATATATATGTACGTGTGTATGTGTGCTCGCGTGGTGCGCGAAGAACAGTATAGTTGATTTTAACTTAACGAAATTGAAAACAATTGTTTCATTTGCATACAACGTAAACCAGTAACTTGCAATGAGTGCACTATTGCGAAAAGAGCAAAATTGACGTTGAAACGATATTCGAGTAATATATCGAAAAAAACCGTTCAATCTCTATGGTATTCTGTCGTTTGTTTTTTTCCATAGATATATGTTCGTTAATCTTTTGCGTTGGAATTGTGGATACATGTTTTTCCGCATTTTATGTGTGATTCGACAAATTAGTAATTTAATCCACAACGATAACGTGTATCTGCTACAATACAGAGATTATATAGCATATCAAATCTTTATATATACATACAAACGTTCTACCGGAATAAATTAGAACTAATATCTGTGGTGTAGAGTAACTCTAAGAATAAATGTTGTAGACGAGAGGAAAGAGATATTAAGTTACAAAACTATATATCGAGCACGAATAATACGTAACAACGGATCCCTGATTCCAACGGAAGAAATTAATTATGTAACACACACACGTAACAACGAAGTACTCTTTCCGATAGCGCGATTTCTCCGTGATAAAAAAAAAAAAAAAAAAAAAAAAGATTGTTTCGGAGAAGATACGCGACATCGCGCGCGATTATTTGTGTAAGCTCTAAATAAATATTATTCCAGTCTGTGTATCGATTCGATATCGGCGGCGGCCGAGGCTTTTTACTGTAACGAATTGCAGATGCAATCAACGTGACTGTTTATTAATCGAAGTGAGCAAATTGTGAGAGAAAAATCTGTAGAAACGTGTCGTCATTATAAGCGACACGTGTTCCCGGCAAATTGAAAATAACGTAAACGATACCAGTTTTGCGCGCGCGCGCACACACAGTTTTAATCGAAAGAGAAAGCGCGAATTGTAAGTAACCGAAATCGAGAAATTAGTCATGATGATCGTCAACGCTCGTGTGCAAAACCAAAGATCGTGTAAAACGACTGACAAATGAAAAAAAAAAAAAAAAAGAACATTGCGATAGGATTTTATTCCAAAATTTTTGCCAAATATTTTCTCAGAATCAAAAAACTAGAAAAAAACTCACTCTTTCTGTGTTTGTTTATTCTTGTTCTTTAATTTCTCACGATGTGCACGTTAAAATTATTTAATTAACGGAATAAAATTCTTTCTAAAGTTCTTTCGAAACCTTTTTGCACAAGAAATAACACACATAACAAATGCGTATTATCGGATCAACAAAAGCTGCAAGTATCGTCGTGCGTTATTCGATTGCCGCAGTACACACACAATGGTGCTTTCGCGTTGTGAGCGTTGTGTTAAATAGGAAGAGAGAGAGAGAGAGAGAAAGAGAGATAGAAAAAAAAAAAGATGCGAATCAGCTCAGTATTTGTTGGCGGCTGCTATTGTGAACAGACAATAAGCAAATGAAACAGTGCAAAACCTTCCCTCGCATTTTCACATTACGGTCGTCGTCTCTCGTTACCGCGAGTAACAATAATAACGATCGAATAAAATACGATTCATTGTTGAATACAATAAAATTAAAATTTTTCCATCGCAATTTTGAAATCCCCCGATTACATTGAAGAACAAACGCAAAATATATATATATTTCTTCGTTCGGAAGGTATTGGACAACGCTTGTCTATGTATTCGTCACATGTTTACACGCTTTACAGTTTCGGCAGCAGCCGAACTCGCGTTTTATCTCGCGTAAAAAATTGCAGTTCGTATAAGATAACCTATTTAAAAAATCTTGTATTGTTATTATCGTAGATATCTAACAAGCTGGTGTATGGGTCCGACTTGCCTGTGTAATAATCAAGATGAAAAAAAAAAAAAAAAAAAAGGAGAAGAGAATCAATGACGAGAGAGAATTGTATTATCTTTAGAAACATTTGTATATTCCCTTGCTTATTGCGCGTGTTAAGTATTTGTACATGTCGTGCGACGTTCAAGATCGTCAGGAAAAAGAGGATAAACGCTTATCGCTCTGAGAAAAACTTCTTTTTTGAATAAATAAAAGGCTGGTCGGATAATTGAGAAAGAGATGTGGGATAAAGAAGATGATCGCACGCTTGTGTTTCCTCGTTTGTACATCTTTTCTCTCGTTTGTATCTCGTTTGCGTTTCGAATTGTAAAAACGCCGGCCTTGTAAAAATCGCCACCCGAATTTCGTTGTGCGATTGTGTACTTGAATCGCGTTGAGCGTGTACGAAAAAAAAATAACAAAAAACAAAAAAAAAACAATATAACACAGTTGTGCAAAACTAAACTACTTCTATATGTATAAGAGTTGAGAAGAGATCACAGAATAAATATGGTCACTAAGTATATCACATTTATTAGAAACTAATGATATAGATAAGACAAGATAAACAACATTACAGACGGGGAAGAAAAGACGGAGACGGAAACAGAAAAAAAAAAAAATAAACATAAACAAGGATGGTTAACTTGTTGTAACTATATTCGATGTTTATCCTAATGTCTCTATATACATATACATACATATATGTGTGTACAACGTATTTATGTGTACAAGAGAAAATGTGTTATGTCGAATAAATAAGTTAAATGATCTCGAGAGAGAGAGAAAGAGAGAAACTATTTCTTTTCTATATGTGTGCAGTCAAGTGTATTAACCTTGTAGTTTATTAAATAAAATAAACCACTGATAAGTCGCTTAAAATTGCCGTGTAAAAAGTTGTAAATCTGTCCTTTCTTGCGCATTAGAAGCTTTTCGAAACTGCGCATTCACGCCGACGCAAGTTTACAGCGAGCGCAATCTGACGATGGCGCGCGGGTATTATACACAATTTTATCGTGGCAGGAAAGAAAGCGCGGAATGTCTATTGACATTCCAAAATATCTATTGACATCTAATAAGACTTACTTTTTGGAGCAAGAATCTGAAGAAACCGTCAGCAATGTTTTTTCCATTAGCGTCATCAGCGATGTTGATTACGTATCATTGGGAACGCCCGATGGTTTTCGCAACATACTCGCGTACGAGATACGATAGCACAAAAAATATCAGAAACTTCTTCTCGCGTCGCGCGTCGACCATTTTGTTCGTCGCGCGCACTTCGTCGGAGCGCAAACAATTTTATCGTACAAAAACTTGTCGATCATCAGCGAGTGAGCCATGCCAATTACTTATCTCACTGTCAACTATATTTCACGACACACGCGTACTACGAATATTCACGCGCGAGAGAATAATAATCGCGAAAAATGCGGAACAATTTGTACGAAGTTCCGTTCCGTGTCGCGCGTCCGCCATGACTGCCCGCGTGTATCGAAGTCCGAGCGTATCGAAGTGCGAGCGTATCGAAGTGCGAGTGTATCGAAGTGCGAGTGTATCGAAGTCCGAGTGTATCGAAGTGCGAGTGTATCGAAGCGCGCGATATCTCGATTGTCGAAATATCGAACCGGCGCGCGCAGCAGTGTCGGTTACGTATTTAGTTATCTGATCTAGTGATTTTTCTAGAACCAAAAAAGCCGCACATACACCAGGCCATAGCGCTGTAACAATGAGGATCGCCCAAAATCGCGGGAAACGCGTCCCGCTTCAGGATTTTAGCGAGACTGGTTTGTAATAGGTAGCTCTCAAAATAATAAGGACGTCCAAGAGGTCGGGATCAGGCGTCGTGCGAAAGCTGTCGCGATATAGAAATGAACGACAGTCAGCCGGCCGAGGTGAGTTTGATTATTTACAAAATAATAGGTGACCCTCGAAATCCGAGGTTGACCGTTGATGATCAGCGGTAGTGGAAAATGTTTGCTATCTGTGTGCCCATACTGCTGGTGTTTCGTGATTTTTCTGGGTGGCCGATGTTGAAGTGACCGATGCACTTCCATCATTTTCAATGCACAAGATGCTAGAGGCTGAAAGTGATTGACTGATCACTACGTTATGAATGCCAATGGCATGGAGGCTAAACAAAGCGTCCATATCTGTTCGCGCATTCCAAGTCAGAAAGATCACTGTTTAATCGTTGAAAGTGTTTATGTCTGTAATTATATAATGTGATGCAAGCCTTTCTCTTGTGATATTGCAGAATGTGAAAATGCGAAAGGTGCGAGAGAATTCGATTGAGAATACTGAGAGCACAGATGAGAACAATGTGGGCAGTAGCATCAAGGACGAGCCAGTCTCCTCTCCTGTTTCTACCAGCATGGAGGAAGAGATATCTTCCGAACAAGCAATTGTTCCGAATGTTTGTGTTGTCGAATGTCCATGGGTGTTGGGACAGTTAGCATGGGCTAGAGTTGGCAATTTCCCATTCTGGCCCTGTGTTGTGACGCTTGATCCCGAAACAATGACATATCACAAATTTAGAGGTAAAAAGTTTTGTATAACCTTAGATTTTTTTGGCACGTTTCAAACAAAAATAATTAAAACCTAATAAAAATTTATTAAAAAGTAAAATTTCTTTGTATTTATTTCACATTTCTCAACTTATTTGTATTTATCTCACATTTCTTAATTATTATTACTATTTTATTATATTTTTATTTAAAAAATGTGATAAATTTATTAATGAAAAATAATTATTGAACAGATTTTTCATTATTTCTTGTGTACATACAGTTTCATCTAGGTCAAGTGTCTTATTAGTACATGTTCAATACTTTGGGGACAAAGAGCGCCACAACTGGGTTACAAAAAATTGCATGATGGAATTCACAAGTATTGAGGATTTCATGAATCTTTCAAAGATGTTAACACCTGAAATGAAGAAGAAAGATCCCAAATATGCTGCCGCTTTGGTTGTGAGGAAGGCAAAGAAAAAATGGAATGAAGCTGTAAAAGAAGCTTTGGAGGTGCAACAACTGACGCTTGAAGAAAGAAATGAGCGTTTTGCGCCAAAAAAAAAGAAAAAGACTGAAAGGGCGAAGAGGAAATTTTCGACTGACCTCGATAAGCCTAATGTTAAACGCACTAAACATAATAATGTACTATTAACATACTTTCATTATTTTAGCATGAACTTGGTTGTATAAAGCTTTCACGTGTACTATATAAATTATTTTTCAGGTACATAACGCAGAAAAGTCGAGCGTGTCATCGCCTTCGCCACATCAGTTTGAAGTAGCGAAACCAAAAACAAAATCACGAATAAAAAATGGTAAACTGACGCCGAAATTTTCAGACACCTCATCAACCCCTTCATCTCCATCGAGTCATAGAGATTTTGTAGACGATTTAAAAGCCATTAAAAGCGAGGAGGACATATTCGAAATCTATTACCAAAGAAATAAAGAATTAATGATAATTGAATATCCGGACACTCCGGAAGAGGAGATAAAAGAATACTTGCGAAGAACTTGGAACGGTATGGATAAGACTTTTCAGCACAAGTACGAAGTGCATCTGACGGAAACCGGTAGCACGCACTCGAAAGAGAGCTCTCCGATTCGTGACGATGAGATCTCGATCGAGATAATTCACGTGAGTACGAAGGACGCTAAAAGATTGAGAAACAAAATAGAGAGGGAGGAAAATTCGGTCGCGGTAGAAACGAAACGGTATAGGCCCTACAATATCTTTAAAGGTCTAAAGCAAGAAAGAGTCTGTCAGATTTGCGAAAAAACGGGCAAGTTGACGAGATGCAAAGGACCTTGTTATTCTTATTTTCATTTGTCTTGCGTAAAACCTAGCGAGTCTAGTCCAGAGCATTCTGACGAGAGTACGTCGGACGATAAAATACTTGAGGATTTAAACATAATTAGACAAAGTATTACGAATAGCGGCAATAAAAATAATGGTAATTTATATAAATATATATATATATATATATGATAACAAATTAGGTATAAGAAAATATCGTCGTGGCATTGTACAGCTACTTAAAAGGAAATGGCTTATAAACTACATATATTTTTGACTTAATAAATGTTGATACTTTACTCGGTTCTCTTGGTTAAAAAGACATAAATGCGTAATAAATTGAAGAATGCATCGTAATAATTTATGTGAATCATAATTTCAAATTCAGATAAACCGGAGGAGCAAGAAGATGAGAATTTTAAATGTATCGATTGCCTGTCTGGGGTGGCACCTGCTTGTTTTATATGCAATGAAAGAGAAGGAGATAGAATACGATGTATAGTGCCTGCGTGCGGAAAGCATTATCATCCCGCATGCTTAAAATCGTGGCCTCAAGTAAAAACTTTTGTTTTCCGTTGTCTTCCTCTTTGCAAAGTCTATTCACTATTACATAATTCAGACAAGAATCAATGAAATTCTTATTTCTCATCGTTCTTATTTCAGTCGCATTGGCAAGGTGGACGTTTGACCTGCTCGTATCACGTGTGTCACACGTGTAGCTCCGATAATCCTCAAGACAATCATTCGCGCGCTCCAAACGAAAAAATGGCGAGATGTGTCCGTTGCCCTTCGTCTTATCACGCGTCCACGTTGTGTCTACCGGCAGGATCCGTATTACTGACTGCTAGTCAGATTGTGTGTCCGAAGCATTACAAAGCACCTCCATTGAATGCGTCATGGTGTTTTCTATGCCCACGTGGTGGAAGTCTTATTTGTTGCGACACGTGTCCGAATTCATTTCATTTGGAGTGTCTCGGTAAATTTAACGTATTGAGAACCATCACCTATTTGAATTAAAAGGCAAAGCTTCGGGGCACATGTAAATTTTATATTATTTCTTGTAAATTAGGTATTGACGCGCCCGACGGTGGATTTATCTGCGAAGATTGCGAGACAGGTAGATTACCTTTGTACGGAGAGATCGTGTGGGCAAAACTCGGCCATTATCGGTGGTGGCCGTCTCGTATATGTTATCCGCAAGAAATTCCTGAAAAAGTAGAATCTTTACCTCATAGTCCTGGTAAATTTTGCGTAATGTTTTTAGGGTCTAATGATTATTATTGGGTGCATAGGTAAATAGAAATATTCTCTTTTTACGTGGAAAATTATATGGTCCGGGAATTAGCACTTTTATCTTTTCTGTGATCTCTTTTCAGAGGCCGCGTTTTCTTGTATCAAGACGGTGACGCGAATATAAAGGCGCCCATCGGTAAAAAGACTGTGACAGAGGAAGCGTATCAAATAGCTCTGCAAGAGGCGAATAGACTGCATCAACAATTGAAAGCGCAGCGGTCCAGAACTAAGGAGTCGAAAGCATTAAAACCGCCACCATATGTGAAATTAAAAGTATGATTTGCATTATAGATCTTCTGTTGTTTCGGCTTCTGCTCATTCGTTTTTCACTTATCCACCATTTTTTTTATCATTAATTCGTCATAATGTAACAAGATTGCAAGAAAACGGATTCTAACAAAACCGAGTGTGTGATAGGTCAATAAACCTGTGGGTAATGTGAAGCCAACCGAGGTCGAGGGTAGTGTGGCGTGCGAATGCAATCCCGAATGGAGTACTCCGTGCGCACCCGGCACGGATTGTCTTAATCGCATATTGCTGGTTGAGTGCAATCCTGCGATATGTCCGGCTGGTTCAAAGTGTATGAATCAGTCGTTCGTGCTGCGACAGTATCCGGAGATGGAACCGTTTCACACCAAAGGTCGCGGATGGGGCCTGAGAAGTCTGGAGTTCATCCAATCCGGACAGTTTGTGATCGAGTACGTGGGAGAGATCATAGACGAGGCCGAATATAAACGTAGATTGCAGCGGAAGAAGGAGCTGAAAAATGAGAATTTTTATTTCTTAACGATTGACAATAATCGAACGATTGATGCGGAACCGAAAGGAAATCTTAGTCGATTTATGAGTGAGTAATATTGTACGATATCGCGCGAAATAAACGTGAGAGAGAGAGAGAGAGAGAGATTACAACGCTCGATTTATGTTGTTATTTACAGACCATTCTTGCGCTCCGAACTGCGAAACGCAGAAATGGACGGTAAACGGAGACACGCGTATCGGTCTATTTGCGTTGCGTGATATACAGCTTGGTGAAGAGTTGACGTTTAATTACAACTTAGCGTCCGATGGGGAAACGCGGAAAAAATGTCTTTGCGGTGCATCAAATTGCAGCGGTTTTATCGGTTTAAAAGCACAGAAGCAACAATTGCCAACGCTGCAAACGACATCAACCATGTTACCAAAGTCCGCTTTACAAATAAAGAAGATTGATAAACGATCCAAAAGGTAATATCTTGTATACACAATGATATCTTACGTTATTATCGCCTTGTAACTCTTATCACGTGTGGTGATAAGATTAACAACTTCCGTTCTTATTCCAGATTCAAAAAATATACGTGCTGGCGATGTGGGGAAATAATATCGGATTATAACATACTTACAATTTGTTCACAACGAACATGTGGCAAAAAGTATCATGCTGCGTGTGTAGAAATTGACGATGTAGAAAATAAATTCTGCTGTCCGTGGCACTTTTGTTTAGAATGTGATCGTCGAACGACAGTGCACTGTTCATTCTGCAGTAAAGCATTTTGTCAATGTAAGTTATGCAAATTCAAGAAAGAAAATTAATGTGTTACATATATATTTACATATATATTTACAAAATAATTTGTAGTAAATTTCAATTCACACACATATATATATATTATTGTGTATGTTTTAGTGCACTTTGAGGGAAATTTACTTGAGCGAGATAGTGAGAAGGGCGGTTTTGTGTGTAAATTACATGAAAACTTAGACGTCCACAAGTCCGTCGAGGACGAGAAAGAATATTCGGATAACGAAACAGATAAAGAATATTCTTCCACAAGTCCGAGTTCTAGTAGTCCAATTGTAATGGAAAAGGTTACGGGCCGAGAATCGTCGCCAAGAGTTTCGATCGTAGAGGTGAGATGAAACCTTTCTATCTGCGTCATTAGTAAAAAAGAAAACAAACAATTCATCGCGATTATTGGACAATTACAATTATTAGTTGTCAATCGATTATATATATATATATATATGTATATATATATATATATATATTAATGACTTAGTAGTTATCAATTTATAACGATACTTCGTGTGCATTCACGTTGCGACTAGCGTTTTGTATCTTTAGTTATATATCTTTATATAATTTGCGCAATCAGTAGTTGTATATTATTTTGGTGGTGGTAGAGGAGCACGAGAGAGAGAGAGTTTTATGCTGAGATTTGAATAAGTACCATCAGACCATATACCTTGTGAAAATATCCTTTTCTCTGCAGAAACAAAAAAATAATGTATAAATAAAACGAATACATTTGTAATTCATCATCAAAAGAAACTGGATTTTTGTTTACTTTCATTTCATTCTAACAAGATTGCAGTATTTTATTTTGAAGTTTTCACTTCAATAATACCTCTGTTCTATTTAATACTTAGAAAATTTGTAGAATTCTATTTATCGGAGCCAGACAAACGTCTCTTATGAATGTTTATAACATTCATAAGAGACGTTTGTCATTACATAAAAAGAGAAAAAAATAGAACGTAAGAGACATTGCGCGCGTATAAAATATATAATTTATATATATATATATATGTATGTAAAATTTATAAATAGAATTTTCTTTCGAATTCTATCGCGAATTACGAAATCATTTAAGTGTTACATTTATTTTAATAGTTTGTATATAATATTATATGTATATGTTATATAAATATATTTATATCATCTGTATATATATAATATTATGTATATAAATTCACAAAGACAAATTTTAATTAAACTCAATATCGCTGTACTATAAGCGTAAAAAAATCAAAACGTTCAAGCATGTTCTTCTGTGACATAATGAGAGTTATGTTGTTTATTAACAAAAGTATATTGTAACATTAGAGATAACATGTTTTCGAGGAAAAAAAACAAAATGCATTTACATCATTTTTTTTTTTTTTAACTTTTATTTTTCATTATTCCCAATATTTCCTACACTCCTTTTTTTAAATTGGCAACAGTAAACGATTGGTAAAACACATTCTGTTTAATTTTTATACTTGCCATATAACGTGACAGTGCATTCTCACTGTATAATGTATAGTTATGGATTTGTTATGGAGTAGTAGTAAATGTGAGTAAAAGTGTATATTGATGCTACATTTATAAACGTCCCGCAAATTAGTAAGTTACTTCATTATTATCATTATTATTGTTATTAAAATTTGTTTAACACGTTCACTGCGAAATGTCAGCGTGTTGTCGACAAACAAGTTTGTTTCATAGGCCGGTGTCAATACGTTGTCGCACGTTTCTACTTGCAAAACCGCACGGAATCAAATTTGATCCGCTGAGATCAAGTCCAAGACCTCGCAGTGAACGTGTTAACTTCGAGAGACGACATGGTGAGTAATAACGTTCAATTTTTATTTAAAAAAAAACTTTCTAAAATTAGACAATGTTTGCATAACGTACAAGATCATTACGTAGTGTTTAAACGTATCTCTTTCGTTTATTTTATATATTTATAAATACGTATATATGTATGTATATGTATAATTTTTTCCTATTTGTATTTATATATTATGTAAATGATCACTTCTCTTTTTTTGTTTTCTTTCTACGGACATAGTGTAAAATAAGTACAGCTCAAATTTAATAATTCAAAATTTGAATTATCAAATTCTTTTTTACGCTATTTTTGAATTATTTAATTCTTTATTACGCTATTTTTTCTGATTTATTGATTAAACAAAGAGAGATGGTCATTTAACTCAAACATCCTGTACATATGTTTTTATTACATGGTATCATACTTTATTTTTTTAATATGCATTTTTAAGAGCATGAATTATTGTTAACATATATATAACTTTTCAAAACAGCATCGTAATTTTTGTGACGATTGGTTTTAGCAATAATAATTTCTCACAGGTTGATTTGAGCAGCGAAGAAAGCGAAGAATCTCAGAAGGAAGAAGTCAGAAATCTCGAAACTGCTTCTGTATCGTGCGATGCAAGTTCAAAGGCAAAAAAAGAAAAAACTCAAGTGAAGGATTTATGTAATCTCACATCTAGTCAATTGGAAGCTATAATTGGTGGTAGTTTAAATTAATATAAATGAAGTACTCTGAGAGATATTTGAAGAATCCTGTTTCACACATAATGAACATTTATGTATATAAACCTGTACAAGTTTTTGTATAAGCCGCTCTGACTAATTTGTTTCCTGCAAAACATTTAGTTTACGCTCCGCAGTAAAGGAATCAGTCGGAATGACTGTATTTATGTCACATATATATATATACATATATATATATATGTAGGCATTTATATGTATTCATGTAACACTGTAAAAACGTATATAGATATATCTATACATGTATTTATACACCAATTTAAATACATATATCTATATATCTGCATGTACGTATACGTGTATTTTTAGAAATTAAGAATTATATATTAATGTGTAAACTGATTTTGTATATACATATTGTAGTATTATTTTAACAATTAATTAATAATTTATTATTTTTTACAGTAATTTAGAATACATTTGATAGTGTGCATTTTTACGTTCTTACAAATATTTATCACAGAGTTAATTGTTTTTTTATATGAACGAAGTATAGTGCCTTGAAAGCAAACCAGGCAAATAACTAGAACCAATTAGATTTCTGATGTTCTTCTATATAATAGCAATTATTTCATAAAATATGTCTAAACATGTAGAATTATGTGACAATATGTAAAATAATCTATATAATTGTTCTTTTGTTCTTCTTCGGACTTGCAATAAATATTCTCACTGCCACATATTTTGCAAAATTTAGTTTCAACGATAATTTATTAATCAAGTGTTTATAGAAAAATTACTCATTATTTTGTTGTAACACATGGCATATATAAAACCAAGTATTATCTAGTGCTTTGGTTATATGTACATGTATAAAAAAATAATTTAATCATATATATATATGTGTGTTTATATATGTATATATATATAATATATATATATATATATAATATATATATATACACAAAGTAACTTAATCATATATATAGTTATATATACATATATATATATTATATATTTATATATATTATATATATATAAATATATAATATATATATATGTATATATAAATCATATAAATCATACATATATTAATATATTAACTATATATCATATATAATTATATATATGATTAAGTTACTTTGTGTTTGTGTGTGTATGTGTATACACACACGTATATAACTTAAACTAGACAATTACCATACTTTACTCATAAAAATTCAGTATTAAGCAATTGCGCGCGCGCGCGCGCGTGTGTGTGTGTGTATGTATATTTATTTATGACGAGAAACTTTTGTATGATCTCTAATAAGACTAAGAAGGCGTGGGGAGAGTAGATTTAATAAAATTGTCACTTTTGACCATCTTGACTTTTTTGAAGTTTTTTTCTTGCATTGCTGTCGGTATGTTTCAGTATACTTCTTTTTTTGTGAATAGTGCTGCATCACGTGTACGAACAAGTATACAAAGAGACAGTTTTTTTTAAGAAAAATTGATAATTAATATTAAAAAAAATAAATATGTAGGTACATGTTTAAATGTTTTAATTTACATCTAAATGTCATAAGTAGTTTTATTTTTTATTCCAGCAAATAATAAACACACAAGAAATATATAGATATCATTACTTTAAATAAGGGGAATCGTTTATTGTTTAAGAAATTATATACACATACATGTCTCTTAGCCATTCATTAAGACTTTCCAAACCGAACCGAGAAAACGTTAAAAAAAACAATGTACGTGAATTGTTATTTGTTATATTTTAAGTTATATACATTCAATAAAGAGTTCTGAAGTACTTTCAACCTACAAATATTCCTTATATGTAATCGAGAAATGTACAATTTCCAAATGTATAAAGTAGATAAAATATTACCACATGATATTGTTATATAAGGCTCTTTCTTACATAATTCTCGCAATAAAGTGAAACCATTTGTTGTTCATTCTTCATGCTGTAATTTTTGCAGTACGATATATAAGATAGTCGATCTATCAAATCATCAAAAACTATTGCTAGTATAATTTGATAAATATATAAGACTAAGTGTATGTACATATTATCACACAATTGTTTTTAAATCTTATAAAAATATTATTATTTAAACAAAATCAACTTGTTACGTTAAGTAGAGTTAATTTTAAACTTATGTGTTTATTTAATACTCTATATACGTTCTAATGTCGTTACATTAATACACATGTTAATATACATACGTAATATCCAATAATAAAATTAAATGTAATTATATATCTCTTTTTAATCCAGAAAAAATAGGTTTTTGATATTCAATCATTAAATGATTGACGGGATGATAATTTTTTTGTTACAATTTAAAATGAATAAGGAGATCGATGTAGATCGATATATACACACATTTTCTTTTTTTATAAAAATGAGATTCTTTAAATAACGTGGTTTGGAGAGGGAGTATTATTAGCTGTACACAATAAATAACCTTAATATTTTGAAGTTTTATAAGAGACAAAAAAATGTTATATAAATGTACTTACATAAATTGAATATGATTATTTTTGTAAGAAAAGTGTAAGAAAAAACTGTTATTAACATTGTGAAAAGAAATAAAAATTCAAATACAAACAACCAGAATATTTTCTTAATTTTCTTAGAAAAGAGTACAAATAAAAGCAAACGTGTGAGTGTTCACTGAATCGTACGGATTTTTGAACAAAAATCCGTACACACTACTATTGCTATAAATTACATGTGATATTCAGTATATGCTAATTTGTGTGACTCGGTATAAGAAATATTTAGAATGTACATTAGTTTTTTTTGTGCCGTAGTTTTCTAAATTGCACAATTGCCGTATATTTTATAAAATATTGACGATTAAAATACTATAACTATCTAACTTATAATCTTTTAGTTTATAGTTACTGAATATTCGTGCATATATATCAGGAGTGTTTATTTTTTATATATAATATAAACACGGGAATCAAACTCTCTGCTCACTGCCGTAGTTTTGATACAGCTTTGGACTTTCTTGTGCAGATTGTAAAGAGGAAGTGGTACTTCTCGAACTTGGTAAATTTGCTTCCGAGTTCGACGCTACTGAAATAGTTTCCTCTATTGATGTCTGATTCTTTCGTAATACTGGGGCGACAAAATTTTGACCCGCCGAGAAATCCCTTTTTGGTGCCTACCAGAGTCGATGAGTAATTAATATTTTAGAATCATTTTTTTTTCTATCAAGAAAGATTCGCATAACTCCACAAAATTTCTAGTTTTTTTTTATTTTCTAATAAATATTAAAAATATGAACAATCTAAACTTGTTTGGGGGAGAAAGTCAGTGGAGTCAAACTATAACACCATTGTATAATACCTTAGATTTCGAGAACGGTACCGCAGCACCAGTTACCAGACCCAAAATACTCAGACAGAGTCCAGTGAGTTGCACCGCGGCTAACGGAGAAAGGCCTCTTCTCACTAGACCTAAGGCTAAAAGAGCAGCTTGTGCTAAAACTGGTGCGGCTCCTGCAGCACCAACTGCCGCTCCGGCCAGCTGACCACCGCCAATGCTCGGCCCATAAGCAAAACATAAATTGTGTCTATCCACCTAATTTATAAAGATAATAATTTTATTACACAAAATACATCTACACACAAATCATAGTTATATGAGTGTAACATTGAGCGTGTTACAAAGTAGAACTAGATTAATTCTATCAAACATACCAAATGTTTTACTACGAGATAAAGCAGACTGAAAGGAGTAATCAACGGACACGCCAAGCTGTAAACGGTTGTCATGGTAAAAACCAACAACAGCCACGCGTAATGAGCTCCTAATGGGAATTCCCACAGTACCGCTTTTCTCACGTATATTCTTTCCGCCCGACTGCGAGCTATACACAATCTGAAAGTATACAGCGCGAGTTCCGGCAGTCTAACCAATTCCAATCCGGATCCGAATAAAGCCGCGGTTATGACGTAATTTACAAAAAGAGCACCCTGTAAATTTCGCAATATTGCACAGTTTCTGTATGCGATGTGTATTTTTATTAACAAAAATGATTTGTCGCATACCTGATCTGGTAAAAATACACATTCCCACGGCGTCATGTCATTGCGATCATATACTGTCCAAGAAAAGAACCTTTGAGCACTGGTCAATCCTAAACTAGGCAATATAAGCACCATCAATAACAGCAAAAGTAATGTTTTTCTCATGACAGCACGATTCAATGTGCTTCTGGTCCAATGCCTCATGAGAGATTCACTTCTAGCGACTAGCGCGGGCATTGTAGCGGCCACCGTGACCAGCATCACGGTAGGCAAAAAGGAAGAGACTATCGAGCTTAAATTTTTAATTTCTCCAGTAATCGGCAGTTTGTTGATGTTCGTTACCACGACCTGAAATAGAAGGTGACATCACGCATATTTTTACACATGTTTTTATCACAATTGTATTTTTGATGAAAAAATATACTCACCGCCGGCGTAGTAAGAAAAAACAATACTAATCCCAAAAAGAAGTTTATTAACACGGCATTTAAGTACCAGCACGGTCTGGGAATACTTAAATTCTCCCAGAATATATCTGATGGTATAGGCGCGTAATCCACGATCCACTTAATACTAGGCGAAGACCTCAGCTGCTTGCGCATTGTCTTAGCCGCACCGGGTGTACCTGGTAATTACTTGTTAAATCATTTCGTTAAATTATAAGATACACTTTATTGCATTTTACCGTACCTAAAGTTATAAACGCTACTCCAATAGGTTTGCTAAGTGCGAGTTTCTTTTCTTCCTCGACCAACGCCATCAACCGTAATTCCTCATTAGTGTAGAACTCTTGAGCGTCCACTTGCTGCCAATTTAACGGTGTAAATAGAAAATGATTATTCGTTCAATAATTAATTTAGCTTTAAAGTAATCTATTGTTTTATACACATATATTGATGCTTTTTTCGATGTTTACTCACTTTTTTACAACAGTGTCCAAGTATTTGCCCGCACGGATAAGGATACATCTTCAAAGGTTCTCTCTTCTTGGAATAACTCTCGCAATATAAGCGAGCTTGTTCCGCGCAATCTCTCTCCTCGTCTAATTTCGAAAGACGTTTTATATCGTACGCCAATGTAATATCTTCTACCGTTAAATTGGGAAACGCTTGTCTAAAAAAAACATCGTTGGAGAGCACAAAGATAAAAATTTGATTGGCACAATATTAAAAATTATTTTTATACTAATTTGAAAAGTGTTAGGTTAGCACTAAGTTAGCACTAAGACAATTGTTTTTTTAATTAGAAAAGTTCCTTTTCCACGTACTGAAAATATTCACTCAGATTCTCAACAGTGCATTCATGCTTTGGTATATCTGTAATTAACAATGTTCTTGCTGCATATTCTCCAGAAGGTCTGCTATCTCGCACCTACAAAGATATACCGAGATTCTTATGTAATTATTGCGTACATAAACATTGCGACATATTTTGTGACAAAGAATGGAAGATATTGTGTACAGATAACTCTCGTATAATTCAATTTATATAACGCGGCATTTCTGTGGAACGGAATATCCACGTTATACAAATCCAAGTTATCTGTATTTTTTTATTTTAAGTAGTTTCATATCACAATACCTGTTTTAAGCAACGTCTCATGATAAAGCTGCCCACTGGTAGATAAGATAAGAGCAATATAGTGTATATCCAAATTAAATGAGAAGTCGGGTCTAGATTTGACATTGTTGTATGACTGAACATAGCGCTGTCTCCTGGTTGCATGGTCCCGTAAAGATTTATAGGTAAGGCTATACACAGAGATACAACGAGCATCATGATGGTTAAAATTATTAAGCAGCGCTCAAACATAATGTATAACAAGCCATCAGGTCCCGCACGCTGCAATAATTCATCATCCCTACACAAAAAAAAAAAAAAATATATATATATATATATATAAGAAAATTATGTATGCTATACATATATACATAGATAGAATAAATAATTTGAGAACTCCAACAGATAAACGCTAACTTGATCTTGAAAGCGGTAACAATCCACGAAAGAAATCCTTGATCCAATTGCGATAGTTGAGAATTAACGGAAGCTTCCACGCACAACGGATCGGTGTCTCGGTTTTCGTTAGCACCATAGAACAGTTCCATCCATCTGTTTTCAGATTTGTACAACAGTGCGAGACGTCCATAATTCCACGCCTTCTTACGTAATAGACCGAATAAAGCAACTAAAAGCTGTAACAAGGCCGTTGTGAGATTATATTATATTAAAAAACAATTCAATTATGTAATTGAAATAACATCATTCCATTAGACACATTTGTGTTCTTTAAAGAGAGACATCAAAATGTAAAAGTGGTGTAATTTTAAATATTAATGATATAAATAAGTTGAAAAAAAAAAAAGATAATAAACGTCGCTACGCTACGCTGATTCATACTAACGGCAAATGCGCTCCGTAATTATCTTACCAGAAATCCCACGAAATTCAGCAGTAAATTCTCGGGTATGCCCGCGTACGCGTCTGTGATTATTGTTCTGTTATAACGAGGGAACGGAATGCACTTTTCCACCGAAGGCTGAGAGGAGCTGTAAACAATCGGAAGATGTTATAACGCGAAAGATAAACACAAGAGATCAACGTTCTCAAAGAGAACGAGAGAGAGGAGCGGGTTTTAACTTTCGGTAAACGTGTTTGACGCACAATTGCGTCATTATCAAGCGCAAAAAGAAATTGCACAATTGCGTCCCGTTACTTACTTTTCTAAGTTGTAATCCATGACCGATATCAATAGACAAATCGATGAATTAATACGTCGTTAAACAAAAAATACGTAGGAGCATGTTAGCGGACGTGTGTCAATTTGACACATCGTATGGTAGCTGCACAATGTGTGAATGTATGCCACTCACAACACAAATAATGTCCCGTGTACGTAATTCAACTCTAACCTGATCCGAGACTCGCGGCCTCGCGCCTTTGTGTATTTATGCACACCGTGAAACGTCATTTCACTTTTTGGCGTTGCACACCGACGCACACGCGTAAAGGTGAAGGAAGCACGAACGGAGGAGGGAATTACTCATTGGTGAAAATTTTACCGTGTATTTTTATCTCTGTTATCTTTTATATGTTTTCTCTTGATACGAATATAATGATAGAGACTATATAATGATAACATATTGTAATAATAATAATAATATACTCGCTTTAATTGTGATATCGCGCGCAGAAAGTATCTTGACACGCGTTTTTATAAAATCACACTGTTTACGCGCAATGTTTTTTTGTTAGTTGAGTTATCGTGAAAATTCAAATGCAATTCATATGTGTAGAAAAAAAAAATTGAATTTATTTTTACATAAACTACATATAGTAAAAAAACGAAAACGGAAAACGCAATATACGAAAGAAATCGAAATATTCGATACAAAATCTTCGATTATGTAATTTTTGTCTTTGTTAATAAATTCTTCCGTTTTGTACAATGCAGTGGGTTTTCTTATTTATAGAGTAGAGATTATACACGTGTAAATATAAGAATAACAACGCAATAACTTAATGTTTTGTTGATTATATCATATTTAAAAAAAAATCTTATATTTTCTATATGTAAAGCTAAATTATCTTATAAATATATAAATTTGTTTCTTCTTTTCTCTCACTTTTTGATCATCATGTAAAAACAAACAAGCTAACATATATGTATAGTAGTACTCTTTTGTACTGCAAAATATCATGTTTGTACAATAGAAAAGTTACACTTTTCTATTCGTCTCTCCGCTTTATTGTCTCTTATAAAGCTGGGTTAATTGCAGTTCTCCTGTTGTAATAGAATCTATAACCCAAGTCTCTCTCAGACCGCTTGGGCCGATAATAATTTTAGCAAGTTTGATATTCTCGGTGATATGTCCGCCCGCTGTCTTTATCAGTTCTTTAAGTGTGACACATGGCACTGTAGTTTTAAGCTCAACGTAAATAAAACCACAAGTGGTGAACAATTCTGGAATATACGACGGCCCGAATAACTGCCTGTCTCTTCGATTTTCCTGCAAAATGCAATGTAATTTTTACGCATGTTGCGCGAATTTATATTTGATTTCAAACAATTATCGCACACGCGAACTTACCTGCACAGCCTTGGAGAAATGTTTCATCTCGAATTCCTCCGGATTCAACCACCGGTTGCTTTCCAAGGATTTCAAGACCCACTCCAAAGTAACGAGCCAGCAACCCCTTATTATCCCACGAAGTAAATTCACCGTACGTACACCCGAGCTTACGACGTGAGTCGTGCGTTTCGATACATTCAACTCCATCTCCGCGTTGCCGAGGGACTTGACAATGCTCTTTACTAAACTCTTGTCCCTAACGTGAAATAAAAACATGTAAAATTAATTTCGATTAATTTTACAAAAACAGCGAAATGTTTGCCTCAAAATAAGCTTATTACCCCTTCGATAAACCAGTCGTCACAATAACAATTTTGTGAGATAACTTGTAGTTATTCCGTTGAATGGATTTCGTTGCGCGAAACTTCACAAACTCGTCTAAGGAATCTCTACTTTCTCCTGACAGGTCTCTTTTATTTTGTATGAGATTCTCCTTTTCCAGTACATTCAACATGTTGTTGTCGGCTAATTTTTTGACAACAATCTTCTTGCTGATAACCTTTCTCGGTTTTCGCGTTTTCTTATCTTGCTCCTTTTTATTCTCGCTATCGCTGTCCGACAACATCGATTTGTTCGTCTTTTTGTGCTTATTAACAATCGTATCCATCTTGAGATTCAATATTTTTTTTTTTTTTAATTTTTTTATTCTCTTTACGGGCGATTTCTCCGTGACGGGACATTTATTTTCATCTATCGGCGTAATCGAACACAACTGAGAACCGTCACTCAGAGGTAGCAATTTTCTTTTGCCCACTTTCGTGAGGGGGACATGTTCCACGCTTTGCGAGTCAGCTGAGTCCTTTTTTTCTTCGACTTCGAGATTCGCTTTGTCAAATTTGTTCTCCGGAATCGATTTGTTCTGGGTAACGACGGAAGGATTGTCGAATGATGGGCTTCGAATAGCCAAAGATTTACAGTTGAGTGATTGACGTTGAGTAACGAAAAAAGGGTCACCGCTGAGTGTACCTTCCAAAATAACTGTTTCGGTTCCGACAGTTTTTGATGTTCCGGTCAACGCAGGCGCTTTGTTTTGACTTCTCGGAATTCTAATAACATAAAAAACAAACACTGTTTTAATTTATGTATATAAACATATTGTATTACATGTAAATGTTATACGTATGAATACTTACGAAGCGCTCGACTTCGTTACATCACTTTCCTTTCCGTTGTTGACGAGATTTGTGCCGTAACCGCAGAAGGACGTGCTGTTCTCTGTATTTTCGGTTTTAAGTTTCAACATCGTTTTAAAGAGAACTGAACGGGTCACTGGATACGGTGTTGCTTCAACGCAACTATCGCCGCTCGCGCGCATATTGTTTTGAGATTTACCGTTCACCGCGTTCTTAGATTCGTTCGTTTCCTGTTTTCCGAAAATTGCAATCGATTGTTTGCAAGGAACCTGCCTTCGTCTGGAAACGTTTCGTAATCTCTCGAATAAACTGATGTTCTCCAAGAGATCAACGTTGTTGGTTTCCCCGTTTTCCGTTACTTTTGAATATCGATTGTTCGCATTCGAACGATCTTCCTCTATCGGATCGTATCTGTCCTGAGGTAACGATGATCTGTCGAAAACGTTGCTCTTGCCACTTGGCCGGCGCACGGAATTCGTCGACGTGTTCACTTGCAACGAAGTTCGAACGGTGCTTGTACTCTCGCGTTGATCATCCAAGATTATCAACTTTCTTCTCGATTTGTCGACGTTCCTATCTCTGTCACAATCGGTTACCGCATCCAAGGAGGTATTCACGTTCAAAGACGATCGAATAGTTTCGCTACTCTTGGACAGGCTTGACGTACGTTGTTTCTCGCTTTCGATTTTAATTTCATTATTAGACTCACGTGTCTCGCACGCTTTCTTCATCATCGCAACTTCTTCGACGGATTTCCCTCCGGGTATAACTGTATCTTCGTGCGCGCTCGCTTCATCTTCGTCGTCTGTAGTACAGTGCGAATCGGAGGATTCGACGTAACGTTTTACAACAGATTTCGAATTACCGACATCCTTCGGTCTCTGCGTACTTGCGCTCCTGTTCTGCTTCCAACTGGTTTCTTTACATTTTTCCATCTCATTTTCGACGCATTTACTTGGACTTGGGTCTCTATTTTGCAAACACTCGTACTTCTCACTCGCTCGGTTATCTCCGTAAGTTTTTGTCATCTCCATTGATATTACTGTGTTTACCGTTTGTGTGGCAGGAGACATATCGCTGTTCGGATGATTGGTGACAGTTCGATGCGCTTTTTTATCGTCGATTGCATTATCCTCGATAAAAGTGGAACAAACAATGGGCGCTCCTATGTCGCAACTCTGAACGGAACATATGGTCGAGTATGTGTTATTAAGTTTGCTTGTTCGATCCTTAGATCTTTTTCTCAGCAAACTGAGTCTCTTGCTGCCGCTTAATATAGGACTGCTACTTTGTTCTGACTGTTGGAGAACATTTAGCGGACGATTCTTTAAGATTACGTTCTCAATAATTTGACACTTTTTTTGCTCTTCTTCTTGCTCATCTTCCTTGTCAAACAGTTGTCTGTGAGGTAGCTTAGGTTTATCTATGTCTCTGGAAGAACTGCGTCTCTTTTTTGTGGTGTTGTGATGATGGTTCGATGTCGGTGTCTCAACAATATTGGAGGCACGTTCGGTTGTTTTATTTAATTCAAGAACAGACTCATTCTCGGCATTTGCACAACATTTGTTCTCATTTCGCAACACTTTGGTAATTTTTATCGAGAGCTCGTGCTCTTTATCGAACACCTCTTTAGTTTTGCTTAAAATTGCATCTTTCAAGCGCTTGCAATTGGTTTCGAGAGCGCGTTCCTTGGTGCTTATATCCTCCAGATGTATCCTGAGATCTTTCAATTGTACTCCTTTAACCCGATCGTTTAACCCAGACATTTTATCGTTATCACCTGTAGCATGTTCGCTCGCAACGTGATTATCTTTCTCTTCAACCTGTGAACAATTTCGACCCGTAGACTTGTTCTTGCTTCTCGACAGTTCTTTACTAGCTTGCACCTTGTGTGGCACCTCTTCGTTCTCGATTTCCGTTTTCCACAGAGATCCATTGCCAGAATCCGTTAAATTCGCGTAACTCAGATTCACTTTCAGAGAAGTGCGTCGATGTTTGAAACTGTCTTCTTCCTCGTCCGACGTGTCCGATAAGATCATCCTTCTTTTGGGACCCATCCTTGGATCTGTCTTGTTACATTAGTTGCGCTAAATAAAAACAAAACTATTATTAAATGTTTCCATACGATGATCTTGTTCTACGCGATGTTTATGTCGAGTCTTACGTGAAAGACGACAAAACGCAATTCCACACACGTCGTTACTTTCATACATAATTACCCAAACTGTCTTTTCTTCTCTTCCGGTTTTAAAGTGTCTTCAGCCACCTGCACGGTTTTGTCGGCTATATGGCACACAGTATCATCTCTTACCCAAACTGTCAGTTCCCTAAGTTTTTGTTTTCAAGCGGATGATCCCTACCATCTTGCAAACAATAATCAAAGCCGACTCAACCTAACCCTAACATCCCAATCGCAGCCATGACAGAATTTAGTACGTATCAATTCTATACCGTGGCGTTCGAAACTTTTAATCATCTGTCATGAACACTGAACACACATCAGACACCGTCAGTTGTGAATGTGACTTTTGTGCGGTTTTATGTTACCGGAGAGTTATATGGGGAAGACGTGTTGTTGACTGGTGAACGTGAACTTCAAAATGAACAAAATACAGGTAGATCTACATAACGTTGAAGTTTCTCCAAGTTACGGTTTCATCGAGAAGATATTTAATAGTTTATTTTGACTCTTCACGTAGTTTTCTATCGATACTCTGAAAAACAATTTGTGTATGTACTGGTGAACGAGTGAATTTTACAATACCGTCTGCTGTACGCTGATAACATATGTACGAGTATCTGTGTATACATTGACTTAAATTTAGTTTATTTGCATATTAGCAGTGTTTAAAACATTTTGTGAAATGAGTCGATGTTTTTTAATAATTTTTCTTACACGCTAAGCTATATGTATTTAATTGAGAACTGTTGTATTTTTGCACGAACAGCTGGTAACACAGAACTATAGTTATTTTAGTTTTTCTCATTGTTAAATAATTTTATTTTTAATAGAAACTCTGTGTTTTTGTGTCGCTATTTTAAGTTTTATTATGGCATTTTACAAACATTTGCTTAAAATATATTCATTTAAATTAGTTTGTTTACATATTGCAGTGTATAAATGTAATTATATCTTAAAATGAGCCTATGGTTTTATTTTAGTTTTTTTTATTAAGCAATATTTGTTTAGTAGAGGAAAATTACAGTGTATTTTTTAATTTTTACACAGACAGTTGATAATGTTTCGGTTCCAGGAAAAATCTGTCCAAGAGGATGAAGCTAATCTCTTTAATCCTGCTATATTGGACAGATTACCAATATCACCCGTAGCTGAATTACTCATAAGACCATTAAGAAACACAGATTATGAGAAAGGTACGAATAGTATGAACATAGTGTGACAAATTAAATACATAATTTGCAACTAATTTTTCTTTTGCAGGTTTTCTAGTTCTTCTGTCTCAATTGACTGATGTTGGAAATGTCACTAAGGAGCAGTTTTTAAGTAATTTTGTGTACAGTTATAAGAAAATCAAATTCTAGTTCAATGATTGAATCTCATAATTTTCAATCTTCCATTTAGATAGATTTTACAGCATGAAAACAGCAGGTGGTTACTATGTCATTGTTATTGAAGACATCAATTCTGGAAAAGTAATTGCATGTGCAACATTAGTAGTGGAGCAGAAGTTCATTCATAATTGCAGTGTGGTATGTAAATTTTTTTGTAGTTTTTTTAATTTTCTAACTTAATAAGAATTGCATAGGTGTCTGTGTGTGTGTGTGTGTATGTGTACGTATGTATTGGCACGTTCACTTTTTTTTTTATAGCGTGGACGACTGGAGGATGTAGTAGTTAACAACAATTACAGGGGCAAATCGTTGGGAAAATTAGTAGTGACAATTGTCGTACACTTGGCACGTTATTTCCACTGTTACAAGTTGTCTTTGGATTGCGTAGACCGTCTGGTGCCATTCTACGAAAATATAGGATTCAAACGGGAAACCAACAACGCAAATTATCTCAACATGCGTTTTCACAATGATAACGCTACCGAACAATCTCACTTGTAGTAACGGGTTAAAATATTTCGTTACGCTCTTGTTAACGATCTTCCAACGATGAAAATCAGAATCTTGTTAAGTACAAGCAAACACATGAAATGGGAGGAGAAATAAAAATCTAATATTACCTGCGAGTTTTCTGAAAATTGACATTAAATAGGCTGTGTTGCTTTTCTGAAACAGAACAATACAATATTTTCCATAAAAGGTATCTCAGTCCCTTAAAATCGATTTAAGAGAAAAACGATGTATAGATTTTAACTTACTCTGAGAAAACTGTTTTGAAAGACTAACATATACCTACATAAATTATATAAAATATATCGAATGTATGTGTATGAGTCTGTTCGGGCGTATGTGTATGTTTGTGCGTTTTATCTTAACTTTAAAAAAAATTAAATTCTATATAAAAAATATACTATCACACCTCTCACTTATATATATCTCCTAGATTGTAGGATGTAAAAATAGTAACTGTTAAATAAAATAATTTTACATAACATATATATTTTTCCATGCATATAATGTTAATAAATAATAATAGAAAACATTTTTTTTTTTTGGATAAACTCCTCTCTCTCTCTCTCATGTCAGACAAGTCATCATATAGATACAGAAAATACTTTCATCACATTATTATTCGTAATATTTAATTTCGCTTAATGTACAATAGAATGATTAATTAATATATACGGCATGAAAATTTATTTACTTAAATCTTTTTCGCAGTTGGATTGGCCCGTAATTTCACTGCTCGTTTCGCCTCCATCTGTTTTTGCCTAGCTAGTCTGCGCTCCTCTCTTTTTCTTCTTGCTTCCTCGAATTTATTGTTTCCGCTAGGTATAGCTGTAATTCCAAAGAAAGTTTTTCTATACATTGCTGTAAATAATAAAAACCATTAGTGCATCGAGGCAAATTTACTTGGTTGCTCCAAAGGCTGAACATCTTCGAGAGGCTGAAAATCCGTATCTTCCCATCCTATCTCGGAAGAATCGTTTTTATCTTGAACACTTTGAATAGTTTCTTCCTCCTAGAAAAAAATAAAAGACACACCTTGCATGTAAACGTCACTGATAAAGTTGTTATGAAAGTATCGACGCAGAGAGTTATATATATTATTTTCGTTATCAGTTCGCGCTCGTACATCCAGATGCGCGCGTACTACATAATATTCCGCATATTGCAACGTTATTCTGTTTGAATCAAAAATAAAAATTAGATTGAAAATTGAATAAATAGCCTTTACATTTTTTTTTATTTTCACGCAATATATTCAATGTTAAAAATATTCAAGTATTCTAACTTTGTATTAATGTTACCTACACTATTATTATTTTTTTTTATAAATTATTTACTATTCACCAATAAAATTCTCTGGAAAGATACTTTTATTCAAGAAAAACGGAAAATCGATCGAGGAATTTCGTTGTTTTAAATTTAAAAGCAATAATACAGCCTTGCGTTATACATCGTTCGCATTAACATATCAGGTTGGGTAAGCTGTATTCAAGAACACAACTTCGACTTCGCACAAAAATGTCATAAAAAATTTCAAGGAACAAACCGGTTCCTCCTCAAGGCTGGTCCAATGTTCGTTAGCTTTAGGCGAGTGACCGGACGGCGATATACCACTGACTGGATTTAATGGCATTGATGGCGCAGTGGCTGGCTGCTGTTCCATATCCCCCCAGTTATCGGCATCCCAACAATCCCAATCACAATCGGAATTCGTGTTCTGCGTGTTTTGCGTGTCGTGTTCGTGATCGGGTTCGAGAGAAGTCATGCTTGTCGCGCTGCTCGTTGTAGCGGTCGTGCTGGCGCTGCTCTGAGAACTGCTGGCTTGTTCTAGAGTAAAGCAACAACAAAATCTGTACACAAGATAAAGGAGTAAAACGCGAACAAAAGTTTTTACGATAATAAAAAGTACAAGAACATATATAATAGTTTAAATATAAATGTTAAATACAAAGAATTGAGATAAGAACCTAAGGAAGCGGGTTTATTTAATAAGATTCTAGACGTGTTATGAGGATTCGATGACTTCGGCGTGTCCGATTGACTACGATAAAATTTCGCTGTAACGGCTGTAACGGCCCAACCGGCCCACGTAGCCGCGGCGTTGCTGAGACTCGGTGTCGCAGTATTTACATCCGCCTCTGTAAAAATGTATCAATAACATTGATTTTTTTCGATCGGTAATTTAAAAAAACGCTCGAGAACTAAGAGCACTGTGTATTATATTCACCCATTGATTCGCGAAGACCAGGATCTTCGGAGACGGTCTCGAGTTTAGATAAAAACCCTCGGATGATCCGAAATGCGTTGTCTCGCACACCTTTGTCCACGTCCGTGGTGAGCGGACACAAAGCTGGAAGAATGCGACTCGCGACTTCCTGCAGCAGGAAGTATTGCTGCGTCGCAGCTAGAGCGAGTATGCTTGCGCTTCGAGCTGGAGGAAAGGAGTCGCGAGTCCCGCGAATAAACGCACCGATCAAAACCTAAAAAATATGTTTCGCTTTGTTTTTTACGACAATTATATTAAAATGTTTTACGAAAAGATATCGTGTAGGAGCCGAGTAGTATATGATCGACGTTACCTTTTGCCTTATTTGGGGATGAAGATGTTGAGCAATTTTTCCAAGACAAACTGTAGTATTTGTGCGAATACTACCTTGTTCATCTTTTGATTGTAGTTTTGCGAAATATCTCAAAGTCTCAACGTTAAGATTATTGTAATCTAACTTTGGCGCCAAGTGTACGACTGATCTTATCGTTTCCTCTCTAATTGCCGGGTTCGTGTCAAGGAAGCCTCTAGCTACCTGTATGTGTGTTGCGTGTAAGAGATGATGGAATTTTCTTTAAATTAACGTCTAATAGATATGCTTTCGAAGTTTCTGATGAGTTAAGTATTCAAAGAAGCCATTCTACCTGGGGAAAAATAGCTTCATTGACAGTAGCCGATTGCAGATGATCGACAAATCGGTCCAATTGCTGCAACAATCGTAATCTCGTCGCTCTATCGTTTGACGCGAACAGTTTGACGACGCACGGCACCACTCGACGTTGATACTCGGCGTCGGGTAACTGGGAACCCAGTTGCAGTAGTGGCGGCAGCACCGCGCTTCCGGCGTCACCGAACTCGAAGGCGGCCAGTAATTGCGGCAAGATCTTATACCTACCGACACCATCCGGGAACGAATCCAATTGACCGGCCAGCTGCGAAAAGAAACGTCCTTTCTCACCTCTCTCCTTCATTTGGATTTCCTCCAGGAATAACAGAGCATCGACGAGATCGTTCTTGAAGAAACCACCGTTGGTGCGGCATCGCGCTATCACATCCGCTGGATTCGGTCTTCCTTCCGGATTAGCTCCCGTGAGCTCTCGATACACTGCTGTTATCTGCTTCGGAATCTTAAAGACCACATTAGTCAATAATTAATGAAAATTGATAAAAATACATACTGCGTAACGTAAATTAAAATGATAAACTACATACTTGGCCTGTAACTTTAAGTTGTGAACTAATGTTGAGAGTGCCATTGTATGTTTCCCAGATCAGGCAGCCCAGTCCCCACATGTCAACTGAGCTGTTTTTTTTTATTTTTTATTATTATTAACTCATTAGTTTTTATATATAAGAGCGATGATATTAAGTCTTCTTGTAAATTTGCATTTAACAAACAGTCTATTACCATTTAGTTACCAGTTTTGCATTTTCTTTGGCTTCTGGCGGTTGATATACTTGAAAAATAGGCGGTAAGGAATTGTACGGCGCATCAGCAGCTGTCATATATTCGACTCCACCAAGTTTCCACTCACCGCTCTCTTCATTAACAAACACTGTCCACAGATTGACATTATTATGCCGTAAATTTCCGTCATTATTTAAGAAGTTAAGTGCCCTCTGCCATCAAATTGGAATAACATACATTACAGACTTCCCTTATTTACAAACATATATCGTATAATATTTTCTAATATATGCGATTTATTTATTTAATTATTTATACATACTGTAATTTGAAATATACCCCAGGAGAAGTATAATTCTTTTTTCGATGCATTTTCAGAATTGCATTTCTGTGTTAAACGATTGTACAAAGGTTCTACACGCTCTGTTGCCAAGTAAACCATTTTTTCAGTCTGCAGCAACGAGTAGCAGATTATATTTCAATAAAAATGTTTGACAGAAAACTGAAATATTATTGTACCTCAAGGCTATCAAGATATGCAAGTATACTCGGATGTCTGAGAGTTTTAAGTCTCTTTACAGCAGCGCGAGCAATATCCAGTTGCTGCTCTCCACCATTTTTAATATCAAAGACAAAAACCGAAACATCCTCACCTGCTGTGGTACCCTGTGAAAGATCTTGTGAGATGACAAAAATAATACTTCCATCATTAAGTTATAGAATATCAATTTCGCTAAAATATTATCATCATAAATCATTCATTGAATTTTATTAAATTACCTTTCTTTTAGCTCTATGTAAAGTCCATATGCTTTTGTTTTGCAAGCCTGGAATGGGTTCTCCGATCTCGTATGAAAAATCTTTGGCGGGATCTCTCGAAAAGAAGGACCACATGGTGAAGTTTCTCTTCACCTGTATATGTAAATTATACTCAACTTTCAGTGCGATATATTAGTGACATCACTAACCAAGTCAATCACTGACAGTCACAGATCAGAAACCTGTAAAGAACATAAAAGTTATTGATTTGTGTTGCACTAAATTCGGTCCATTTCAAATTTAATAGATAAATGTCAAGTGTCTCATGTTTGTTGTCTTGTTTCGTTGTTTAATAGAATTGTTTTTGCTTTAAAATCTACTCCACTTTAAATTTAAAAGAGAGGTTAAGTGAAAATCGTGCACACACTGTAAGTGGGCAAATTAAAACAAAAAAATCACAATTTTGTACAAATTCTGCTTCTTGGAACAAGCTCAGAGTTCACGAATCGTTTATTTTAAAAATAACAAGAATTCCAAACACGTACGAAAGTTGCAGATCAACACAACGGGCCTTTTGTTACATCTGCTATAAATTCTCACACTGTTCGAATCGAAAGTTTTTCCTGTAGAAAATAATTACAAGAGATTTGCGACGCAAGGAAAATGTATACACTCAACAGATCCAAATAATTTTTCCACGAAACATTCTTATCGTTCCTCAATTTATTGTATCAAGCTTGTGTGTGTTTTGCATAAATATGCAAGTATATATTTACATTTGTTTTCTTGTTTATTATATTGTTGTACTTAAAGTTATTGCAAACTTCTCTCACACACATAAAGGCGATTATCTTCCACAAAATCGCGTCATGTTCGCGTCATGTTCACGTCAGAAATGCGCGCACGATTCGACACACATACGTACACAGAGGCATATATACACACATCACACACCGTACACGTGCGCGCACACAACTGTTTCTTATTCACATGTATTGTTGCACATCCGGACTAATTACCCTTTAATTGTGATAAAAATATATATTGCCGATATTGTATAGAGAGGAAATTATGTTCTCTTCACACATTTGCCTATTTATCTAATTTGATGATGGAAATTGGTCGAGAGAACTCAAATTGAGAGAGAATTAACCAATCGTATCGTTGGTCAATTTGCCAAATCGTTCGCGCGCGCTAGTGCGATTGGTCAATTCTCTCTCTATCCAAGTTCACTGGGTGCGTTCAGACAACTCAACAGTTGCACAACGGTTGAGAGATAATCACTTCTGATTGGATCATGCTTTTGGAACCGCAGCAGATTTTGAAGAATAGTCCTATCATAAGTGATGATCTCTCAACCGTTGAGTTGTCTGAACGCACCCAATCACTTCTGATTGGATCATACTTTTGGAACCGCAGCAGATTTTGAAAAATAGTCCTATCATAAGTGATGATCTCTCAACCGTTGAGTTGTCTGAACGCACCCACTGATTGCGAGCAACTGCAAGTGTGATAAACTCATCAACTATTTTACTACCTCGCATCCTTGCTCGCATCTCAACCTCAGCGATCACTTAAAAAGTTGGTTAAAGTTGGTGATCAATTGGTTAGTTGATTATCACAGGTGTTTTTGCAAGAAATCTCACTTGTGTAACAAAAGCGCACAAAACACATCGATAAATGATGAGGGTTCCTCTCACATGAAGCAGCAGATATTTGCTAACAGGAAAAACTTATGCTCACAGTGACGATCGTTTAAATATTAAGATTTTGTCTATGATAATTGCGTCACTGCAGTCGCGCTGTGATATCGTATTCCGAAATTACTTAATTTAGAGGTGAAGTAATGGATTCGCGATTATGAAATGATTGATTTATATACATGTTTTGTCACTATTTTGTGATAAATGAATTGATAAATGTTTGTTTAGAAAGCAGATGACAAGCTGCTGTAATATTAATCGGCAAGAAACATGGCAGTCGGAGTATTTCCAGCTCTTAAATTAGGTGTGTTGTTTGTAAAACAGATAAGTAAACCTTTGGCAAAGTTTCTTGTCACTCAAGCAAAGAACCATCCACTTTTTAGGACGTACGTTATTATACCACCCGCTCAGTGTAAGTGTATTCTTGATCAGTTCAAAGACACACACGTTTTACATCTTAAAATATTAAGCTCAATGTTTTACAGTTTATCATTGGGCAGAAGTGAAAACAAAAATGTATGTGATGAATCTCGGTAAGCCTACAAAAGTGGCGAAACTAAATGAGAACATGGCGATTGAGCTGGGTGCTAGTTTGTTAGGTGAGGCAATCATCTTCAGCATAGCTGGTGGCTGTTTGATATTTGAATATAACAGACAGGTGACAAAGGAGGCCAAAAAGGAAGAAGTTCGACAAATGCAAATACAGAAATTCACAGATGACATTCAGGCATTGTACAACACTGTATTGCGACAGGAGTCGCAGATTACTTATTTGCAAGATGCAGTTAATGAATTAGCCAAGCACACAAAGTACAAGCTAAAGACACCCGAAATAGTATCGCCACAGACGAAAAGCAATAATTTTGACGACAATACAGAAGAGAGAAGTAACAAGAATAGTGAAAATATAGTAGAAGCAAATGCAGAAAGTGAGAACAAATCATTGATACAACGTGCTATAGTATATTATAACAATGAATTGAAAGGAGACAAGCTTAGATAATTTTTTTTTTTTTTTTTTAATCATTTTCTTTGGAATATCTATACAACACGAGTATTTATACGGCAAAGATATAGTTGGTATTGGTTTTAAGAAAAAATATCTGTAACACTGCATATAATTGTGTGACATCTATGTACCAGAGTTACATTAGTTATGCACACAAATTTAGATATGTGGTGTGTGTTGTTTAGACATTTATTTTTGCCTTGTATTTAGATAATTTTAAATGTATATATGTGTGATATTAAATTTACATGAAAGTTTATGTATTATAATTATGTAATTATTTTACATATCACTTGTAATATTTTTTTACATTTTCGATAACCGTACAGTATTTTTTCACTTTCCCTTTTCCTTTATTCAGTGATTTGAGATGACCAATCAGAAGGATCCGGCCGGCGAGCAGCTTCACTCCGATTGGTTAATCGATCTCAGTAATTCCAAGTTTGCAGTGTAATACGGGCTGAAGAATTGATAAAAGTGGATAAGAATTTTCGTACAGACTACGTAAGGACTCGGCTGTTAAAAATACGAGTTTAATTCGTGAGCCATAACTAAAAACATGCTATATAAGCAGTTGGAAGCATTTAAACAAGAATTATACACATGTGTCAGTTCTGACAATTTAAAACCCTGTTGTCAATGTGCGTCAGTTGCACGCACATGTGTGTGAAGTATCGTGTTGTACATGTTCATTTTTGACAATTTAGAAATTTCTTGATAAAATGTTTATGGAACGGTTATTCCAGTCTACGGATCGCGAATTAGCAGAAAAATATAAAAAACGATGGCTCGAATCAGGTCAAAATTATTTGTTCTACTTGTGGGGGTTAACTATGCACTTGTTTCTGTTGTGGGGAGTGCTTGATGTTAATTTTCACTCACCGATCATCAAGGAATTGCCGGTTGTGCCGGCGCCGATTGGGGCACCGGCTAAAAGGATGTTGCTCTTTGTCGCGGATGGTCTGAGATTTCAGACGTTCATAGACAAGCCACCACCTTACCTCAGGTATTGTCAGATAGTCGTCATTTTCAAAAACCTAACAGAGAAGATAGACTTGTTAAAATATTTATTTTTTTTATTTTTTTTATTTCACTTTATTAGATTTATTCTTCAGGAATGTGATGGAAAACAAAGGTGTCTGGGGAATATCTCACACAAGAGTACCCACAGAATCAAGACCGGGACATGTGGCAATTGCTGCAGGACTGTATGAGGATCCTAGTGCTATTTTCAAAGGATGGCAAGAAAATCCAGTGGATTTCGATTCCGTTTTTAATCAGAGCCATGCTACTTGGGCTTGGGGCAGTCCAGATATAATTCCAATATTTACAAAAGGTATTCTAAAAGAAGATGATAGTGTTTGCAATTTTTTTCATCTCTCTGATTGTGCACTCTCAGGTGGCAAACAAAATGTTCATGGAAAAAGTTATCCTCCCTCATGGCAAAATTTTGATGCAAATTTGAATAATGAAATCACGCGACTGGACTCATGGGTGTTCAAAGAATATCTGGAATGGTTGCAGTCTTCAACAGCCGAAACAGTGAGAAGTCAACATGGAATTATTTTGTTCTTCCATCTACTTGGATGTGACACTTTGGGACACGCGAAGAAACCACATTCCAAGTAGTTAAAACCTGTAAAATGTTTTTGAGATACAAGTGCGGATTTATTGACAGAAAATAAATAATTGTTTCTAGAGAATATGTGAATAATATGAATTACGTCGATCAGAGGATTAAAGAGATTGTGAACGCGACAGAAAGCTTTTTTGGCAATGGCACCACCGCTTATGTATTCACGGCGGATCATGGAATGACAGATTGGGGATCTCATGGAAGTGGTTTGCCGTCTGAGACTGAAACGCCGTTGATTGTTTGGGGAGCGGGAATAAAATCCTCTGGTTTCCGTCAAGATGTTGAACAAGCGAGCATAGCTCCTCTTATAGCATCTCTAATAGGAATTTCTGTACCTGTGAATAACGAAGCAAGTGTTTGCATAAAAAATTCTTAGAATTCATAATGTAACATGCGTATTTACGCGTATAATACTCTCTACAGGGTGCGTTACCGTGGCAGTATTTCGATGTTTCCTATCACAAGTATGTTGGCCAGTATTTACTGAGTAACGCGAAGCAACTTGGTCATCAAGTGACTGGAAATCGCGCAATAAGTTGCGAAAGTAATGGTCACAGTGACTTGCGAGAGATAAAGTTGAATGACAAAGTTCGCAGAGCTGCTGAATATCTTGATAAAGGAAATGTAATGGAAGGAATTCGAGAAGGCGACGAAGCGATCACATTCGGCAAGGAAGCCTTATCGTATTTCCGACAGTATCAGCGAACGCGATTTTTTATATATTTGTCAATAATGTGGCTCGGTTGGATACTTGTGTTATTTTTGAAAATTGTTAATGTAAAAACTCGATATTCTATCTCTCCATTGCGACATTCTCTGTCGCAATTAACGAATATCGGATTTGCAGTTCTACTAATGATAACTCTAGTTAGCCACATAGGTAAGAGAGACATTATTCTCGAAGCAAATAAGATAATGGTAAAAAAATGGTTCGTTTTATATCAAGTTTTGTATAAATTAATGTTTCTGTTTGCAGTGTCTGATTGCAACAATTGGAGATTACCGTGCTACGCGATGTTCGCCATAATATCCGTGTGGTTTGCCGTTATCACTCTGATCACGTCAACACCCGTGTTTGTAAAACGAAGCAATCGGAAACTTTCCATAGATATTGGGGGCACATTGTTTCTGTTATCGATACTATTTGTTGGACTGACGTACAGATTTGCACTTAGCGTAGGCGTATTATCTTCAGTGCTGATACGAAAAGCAAAGGCAAAACGTGTGCCTCCTCTTATGGTTTTCACGTCCGTAGCGCTGTGTGTGTTTCCACTGCTCCCAGTTGTGGAACCATACCCACGCGTCTATGTTGTGTAAGTGATTACATAATGAAAAACACGTTCCACATAAAAACAAAAGCTTTATGAATGTATTATGTTCAGGATTCTTGGCATATGTATGGCAATGACGATAATGTTCATCAACGAGTCATCGTGGGGTCGAAGAGTGATTGAAATTGTACGTTTAGTCGTCACGAGTCTCGTGTACACCGAGTTCATTGACGGTCGATACTGGATATCGTGGATTATTCTGCTAACTACGCCGTTGTGCATCTGGCTTTATCCAATGTCAATCCAGAAAAGAACGCTGGGTATAATGCTCGGATTTTTCTGCCCGCTCACGTTATTGTCCGCATCCTATGAGCCGCTGTTTTTCCTGATACTCACGCTTAATTTACTCAGTTGGCTGGAAGTCGCCCCGAGTACTTCGAAGAGCCCAGAAGACATGCGGAAGATCACGAGAGACTTGTTCAAGGCTGCGTTTTTTGTATCCTTTTCTTAGAAGCGTTTCACAAGAAACGTGCTTATTTAAACGTCCTAGTTGTTTTTATTAATATGTATATTATCCTGAATATTTGATCATAGATGCTGTACATACTGTTGTGTTTCTTCGGCACGGGTAACATGGCAAGCATCAGTTCGTTTGACCCATCTTGGACGCGTCACTTCGTCACTGTTTTCTCCCCGTTTTTAATGACATCTTTAATACTTTTCAAACTCAGCATTCCTTTGGTGATAGTTGGATGCGTGAGCTACTCTCTGGAATCCGAAGAACACAAGAAGCCTATTACATTAGCTATTCTTTTTCTAGGCGATTGTCTATCGCTGCCTTTGATGCATTGCGTCACGCCTTACGGCAGTTGGCTCGACATCGGTAGCGCCATCAGTAAATTTATCATTGCTATCTCTCTTCCTTGTCTCTTCGTACTGGTACGATGTCTTTCACGTCCGTTGATGAAATTAAATTTTAACCGATTTCAGATAAATTTGATACCTCAGAAGAAGCATGTAGTATAATTGCTGTTTTTGTACACTATATATAATATTGCGATAAATTACAATTAAATTATTTTGGTTTCTATTGGACCAAAGATAGAAGTAAACCGATAGTTCAAGTTTGTATTGTTAGCGCAGTCGTTTTTATGTAGAGCCTACATACTATTTGTATATTTTTCACATAAAAATAAGATAAATTTTAAATCGAGAGAACCAATTCGAGCTAAAACTCGTCAATTTTGTATTAGGTAATTTTATAGATACTTGTCTTTTAAATTATATTTATTTTGAAAATAGTTGTATTGATTTCATCAATATTCAAGACTGATCAATTATTAAATCAATTATCAGTCAAATCATATTAAGTTATGTATAATTATATATGATGCAGATTTGCTCAAGTAATCTAATATCATAGTAAGTATGGTTTTATATCTCAAACAAATTTTTTATCTCCTATAATATAATACATGATTAAAAATAAATGATACATAGCAGAAATTCTCAAATTATTATATATCGTGCGAAATCTTTAGTGTTGTTTGACAGGCGTACATTTCGCGAAACACGGCCGCTTTTTTTTCTTTTTTTTTTTTTAACTATGTTCTGCATTATAAGTTAGGAAAAAAACCATAATTCTTTCTCTCACACGCACAAGATTCGAGTTGTTTAACAACACAGTTAAAAAAATGGTTTACAATTTTACACAGAATGAGAGCATACGTGAAGAGTTTAAAATTTAAACTCTTTATACTTCTTAGACGTTTTTGTCTCTTGGATTTGCTGACGTTTGCGTTTGCTCTGAAACAGAAACGATAATATATATGATAAGATAATATATAATACACAAGAACAAATGTTTTTTATTAAAAAATTCGAACTCTTATTTAATGTCATATTTACCTTTTGTCGTTGCACATGATCTTGCAGCATGTCTGATAGATCTTCTCTTCTAAGATGCGCTTGTCGCGATCTCATCGTCTCCTCGTATCTGGATGCCATTGCCTCAGAGTCAAGATCCAACTCGCTAGGGTCCAGAGTCAACTCCACTGCTCCATCTTTTTCGGCTCGTGCGTCGCTGGCGCTGCCGCTGATTCCGCCGCGACGTGCGGCAATCACGGACGGTGGCGCTTGACCACCTGCTGCGCCCGTCATGTCGTACACGTGCGTGCTGCCCATCATGCTGGCACCTAGACCCTCCGTACGACGCTCTTGTAGTACTGTGTAAAGCGCGGGCGTATCACCGCCTTCCATTTCGCTCTCAATTTTCTTCTTTCTCAACTCGATAGTCTCCGGAGTTTCTAGACCAGCCGGGATCGACGTGATGCCACTCGGTGTGATTAAACCTTCGGCACCAGGCGTAACTAAACCGCTTGCATCACCGTCGCCGTCCTTGCCTTCGCCTTCGCCACCTTCGCCGCCCTCGTCCGCGTCCTCGTCTTCATCTTCCTCGCCTGATGACTCCGACTCTGGTTCGCCCCACATACCACGGTCGATTTCCTCATCCATCGCGTCTGCACCGGATGTGCGAGATATACCGAATACATCGCCGTAAAGCGGCCTTCCCGTTTCGTCGACCGGTGGTTTTCCCCACCCACCCGCGTGATATCCGAACGCGCAGCCTTCTGGAATAGGTGCATTTAGACCAGGGATCTTTAAATTCGGATAACTCGGTGGTGGACCATAACGCTGCATAGCTATGAGCCACGGAGGCGGTACTTTCTGACAATTCGGACCAACCGGCATTCCCAGAGCTGTACGCAGTTCGTCCGACAACTCGCCAGGTTTCTTCTCTTTCAAACGGGTCTCAAACTCCTTGCCCTCGTAGTACAAGTCACCGTGAATCGTCATGCGCGGCTTCGTCTGCCACTTGAAGAATGCGTCGTGCAGCTTCTGATAGTCGATGTCAATTTTACCCAGTTTTGGTCTCGCACGCTCCCGCATCTTTGCTTTCAACGTACGCGTATCGTCTCGCTCCTGCAGGCTTGCCCTCATTTCCGTAATACCGGTGCGCTTAATAAAGTCGGGTAAGTCAAAGGGTGGTTTCTCTATACCTCGTTTGCCTTGCAAGTACTTTCGTTTGAAACACCAGTGCCTGGGTACTGGGACCGTGTTTCGATGCGCTTTCAATTGCACGAGCAACTTTGGATCTCGCGCCGTGACGTCGTGCATCTCGACCACGTCAGGACGACCCACTAATTGCTTAAGTTCCGCCACACTCAGTCGCGTGAGTCTCTTGAGCTTTCGTTTGGACAAACGCGGAGCGCCGTTCTCACCTGTACCTTGCTGTTGTTGTTGCTGATTCGCATCGTCGTCAAAATCGTCCAATAACGGTACCTTGCTGGGCACACCGGTGCCAGCGGTCTGTACATTCATTACTGGCGGATACTGCCCGATAGGTTCACCCTTATCGGATGCATCATTACCGGTCGGTTCCGGTTCTGATAACTTAAATGCTTCAAAGACTCTAGCAAATTGTCGATACATCGGTTCCAAGTCATTTATGCTTGGTATATCTTGTATATACTCTATTTGTACATCTTCCTTATTCTTATTCTCTTCTGCGTTATCCTTCTTTTGTTCCGTATCTTTCTTTTCAACATTGTGTCTTTTCCTTTTTGATTTTTTCTTCTTTTTTGTTTTGCCTGACTTAGGTTCCACCTTTTCTGTGGTCTGTTCCAGTTCCGTTATGACATCTTCGATTTGGGGAACGTCGTCGTTGTCGTCGTTCGGTGATTTACTCACGGTAACAACGTCGTTGGGATCTCCGCCTACTTCCTTGGCTCTTTCCGTTTTGAATGCTAACGCCTGCTCCAATGCAGCTGGAAGTTTGACGGAATTGCCATCCCCTTCTCCGATTCCATTGTCCGTATTCTGATTCTGTAGTTCCGACGGAGGGGCCACTTTCAGACTCAGAAGACTCGGTAGAGTTTTAGTGTCCATGGCTGAAACACAAACCGTGATTAGAGGATAACCTCAACAAACATCGCCGATTCGAACGTTCTTATCTATGTTGTTTCACTGATTGAATCGGCGATTTCCTTATGCAATTATAAGAGAGATTTAAAACATCGTGTCTAAACATACCTTAATGCTTTTTTTGTAGAGTTAATTCAATACATATATGTAGACAGATGCATGTACACACGGCGTCAAAAATTCGCGGAGTAGGCGCGGGGATCGGAGGGCAAGCGGGGGGGTTCCTCGTAGCGCCAACGGGCGCCGTACGAACTAAGTAGTAGTCCACAACTACGT